ATCCTCCCAATTTAGCTGATGGGCAACCGCACCAGCTTCTTGGGAGCTCAACGCAGTGTTCCGTCAGTGGTTTGACATCGATGAGACTTGCCAGGGTGGACCGCCATCGTTGCCAGTGTGGACCGCCGAAACTCTGCCTTTAAGTCAGCTACCTCGAGGAAGGTTGCTCTCTAAAATTAGGACCGACCGACGTCGACGACGCGTAGGAGACTGGGCATTTCTATCAGTCCTTGATTTTGGTATTAATTTTAATGTTCTTAAAACCAGCGTGCACAAGGGAACATCAGAGACATGGGTCAAGGGACGTGAATTGGCTAAGACTTCTGCATCTACAATAATAATACTTGTCAGCATCCCTTCAAAAACTCGTAGCGTAAATGCAATGATGACTTCATGGCGCACTTAACATTTCTGACAAGGCGTTTTCAAGTGTCACCCATAAACGGTGCTACAGAAGGAATAATGCGTAAAAGGTGTTGCGATTACTGCATATAAATACTGTACAGCTTACTCAATGTCTCAGGAACTCTCACAGTACTCAAGGCTGTGCAGTTATCCCAGATAATTTTGTAGTAGTGTCCCTCTTCTCGCAACGACTCAATATTGCAACATCTATTTTAATACCTCGAGGTGTTGGCAGGCCACAGTAGCTTTTTGCTGCTAGCTCTTCGGTGCATGAAGATACCTGGCTCTAGCATCTCTTCAGTTGTTGAAGAAGGTAAATGTGTGAGGCTTCTTGAAGCTGCCGACCTCGTAGTTTGGTTACGGCTGCCCATCAGTTGTGCCGAATTTAATAAAATAGAAACCGCTCGCGTGTCTGCGGAAGAGGTAGACATTTTAGTACCTATTCCTGTCGGGTCTAATTTAAAATTATTTTTATTTAATTTGTCTATTTCTAAATAGTTGTTACATAATAATTTACATTAACTTCTGAATCCGTCCCTGGTACATTATTTGACGAATGTGAAAAACCAAAAATGACCCAACCCAATTTAGTTAAGTATGCCACGGGTTCAGAGGGACCATTCTCTCGAACTTGTGAAGGAAGGGATAAAAACCAATTATCAATACCTATAATAAGAGTTGGTTGCACATTTTCATAAGAAATAATATTTTTCAAATCTGACAAATGAGAAAACCTTTCTAAGTCAGTCGCACGTAACGTCTGTCGTGAGACACCCAATCTGGCAATGGAACGCACTCTATGTAGTTTAAAAGGATCACTACCAGAATTGCGCCCTTTAATACATATGTCGACAAACTCTACTTCAGACAGTTTTGAGAGCCCCCAATGCATTCCACCTTGAGGCTAGCCTTCGGTCCAGATACCCCGATAGCGCGAGAAATCTTAGAATCAATAAAGGTAGAAGTCGATCCATCGTCCAAAAGAGCAAATGTGTCGACACTACCCTTAGGGCCACTTACTGTAACCGCCACAACTTTTAACAATGGCCGTAAAGTCTTATATTCATTGACAGTCTGACCAATGAACGTATGAGCAGCTGTCTCGTTAACGTTTTTATCGGTTGTCATAATCGGAGGACAAACTGCGGAATTCATGGAAATGTGCGCTCGTGGTTGGTCCTCCTGAGATATATCCTCTATAGTAACATAATTATTACTGACAGAGGACCCCGACACATCCGACAAAAAATGTAAAAGTTTATGATGCTTATATTTACACCCAGAAATATTACATAAATCCCCTCTAGTACAATATTTATACCTGTGTAAACCTTTTTTAAGGCATCTGTTACAAACTTTTTCATTTTTACACCACTTAAACCTCTTTTGAGGTGTGAGAGAAAGAAATTTTTTACATATTTCTATTGCATGACACTGCTGACAATAAAGACATATTAATGTCTTGTCATGCGTATTATCAACATTGTCACTCAAAGAAAATGTACTAGAATGTGATGAATTTTTCATTTTAGAATTTATTTTAGAATAATTATCGAAAGAACTACTAGGATGATTATTAATTATGCCAAATTGTAACTGAATGTTTACCTCCCTAGTCAAAAAATCCGCTAAAAGTTCAAGTTTTGTTGGTGAACCTACAGACGTGTTGGAGGTGAAATTTTTGTTGGAAATAAAATCTATCCACCGTGATCTCATTAGTGGGGTCAATTTGGATAATACAGAGTTAAAAAGTTCAGGAGATTCTAAATAAGCTTTGTTTTTCAGTAATTTTATAATTTCGACACTGTTACGAACGCGACAAGCAAGGATATGTAAATCTCTCGATTCTGTGCCTAGCCTAGGAAGGGCTCGCAGTGTATTTACTTCATGTAGCACAATGTACTCTGGCCGAGCGAACCGCATCTCTAGGTGTGCCATGACTGGCGCAGGGTCGCGTGCTGTTACCAGCAATACAGCAACGGCCCCTCGTGCCACGTAACGCCATGCCGATACGCGCTAAGTTTTCAGCAGGCGTGTACGAAGAGGCTGACTCTTCGAAAACTCTTTTGAAAATAAACCAATCTAAATGTTTACCATCATAGGGAGGTAGTCGATCATCCCTGTGTTTTGAAGGACGGTTAACATTCGTTAAAGCTGTTATTGCATTTGCTAATAAATGAATATCTGACTTACCTGTGTGTGTATTATTTTTACAACAAATATTACTTTCCGGGTGCTGATTTGTAGTTACTATTCCCTGAGGACACTGGTAACTACACTGTGCCGATGATTCAGCCAGCACCGCATTAATAGGACCTGAAGATTGAAGATATGTAGATTGGGGCTCTGAAAAAGTCAAATGTCTGTTAGTGAATTTATTAGAAACAGAGACACGATCCACAAGGGCAGACGTACCGAGACGCGAATAAGCGACCTCCGAAACAGGGGTACGACTGCGGGGACACGTTGTAGAAGATAGGAAATCCACAAGAGCCGAACTACCGGTGGCTTGTATACCAACAGGGGCAGTACGACTGGGAATGACCACCTCCCTAGGCTCCGTTGCAACATCCACACATTTGTTGAGCCAACCCTGGACATATTTAATAGACGAACGTACGCTACGTCGACTGTTACGTTCATCTTCAGCTTCAATCTCAGCTAGTTGAGCAGATAGCTCCAATTCGAGTACCTCACGTTCTCTTTGTTGTAATTGTCGTTCTCGCTCCGCTTCTCTTTGTTGTAATTGTCGTTCTCGCTCCGCTTCTCTTTGTTGTATTTCACGTTCACGCTCCGCTTCTCTCGCAGCTGCGGCTCGTTCCAAATCCAAAAGCTTTTTCGCATGTTCGACTTGAGCGGCTACGGAACGGGCTCTGACAGTGGAAGATGAAGTTGTGGAACCTGAAATAAAAGAGCGTGCTGCGCCCGTTGTTTCGAGCGGCGCGCTAGGTTCCTCACCAACTATATCCGCGGAGGATTCCGCTCTTGGCTGATACTCTCACCCTTCGTTTGGGAACGTGTCTTCATGTCGGAAAAATTTAGAATTTTTATTATAATGTAATACTAAAGACGGCGAAAGAAAGGACCACAATGTTACGGAAGGAAGGACTGTATAAGGACTGGTTAAAAATGAGACACGTTCTTAGGTGAGGTAAAATAGATGTAATCAGCTCGCTAGCAAAAATATAAAGACAATATGGCATAAGAAAACAAATAGTATATAAAAACAGAACGTCAAAATATAAAATTCAAATATATATAAAAAACATAAAAACTATCAAAAAGGTTATCGGCAACAATATATATTTATTATATCTCCCTTTTTACGGGGGTAATATATTCAAACACGCGGGCCTTAGCCAAGCATGGATGAGTTATGTGATGAAGATAGAAATTTTCTGACTATTCGGCATGTGTTTAGTATGACGGCTTTTTGTAATAGGTCTATTGTAGAGGAGGGGATATGCAACGTGTCTAGGTGTTTGTTCAGACTTTTTGGTATAATTCCTGTGGATGACAAAACTATGGGTACTATGTGGATGGTGTGTGCTTTCCATTGTTTTTTTAATTCTATTGCTAGATCTGTGTACTTTGTTAGTTTTTCATTGACTGTGCTTTGTATATTGTGTGTGTTTGGGATGGCTATATCTACAAGTACTTTTTGTTGATTTTGTCGTGTAATGTTATATCGGGTCTATTGTGATGTACAGTTTTGTCTGTAATGGTCTATTGTGATGTACAGTTTTGTCATTATTATTATTATTATTATTATAATAATTATAGATTTGTTTGTAACAATCATATATTATTTGTGTAAATATTGTCCTATCATCGTGATACGCGCTTCGTAGAAACTGTTACATACAAAAGTGTTTTTTTGTTATACATTATAGAGATATCGACGGCCTCGCTGGTCTAGCGCTTTAACACAACAAGTAAGGCGGTTACTTCCGATGGTCGCGGGTTCGATTCCTCGCACGGCACAAACATTTGTATTCATGAGTATGATTGTTTGTATCGGTCTTGGAATACATATATATTCTTTTTCGTAAATACATACATATTGTACCTAGAAAACACACACACTTTTATCTATCTATCTATACATATAAATAAAATTGGAGTGTCTGTTTGTAATATTGAAATAACCGTTTTTTACTACATGCATATGAATATAAATATGGTACATACACCAAAATAACATTGTTTACAATTTTTGTCTGTCTGTCTGTTTGTTCCGGCTAATCTCTGAAATGGTTGGACCTATTTTGAGTGGACTTTTTTTGGCAGATAGGTGATGTAATAAAAAGTAACTTAGGCTACATTTATTGTAGAAAAATAAAGTTAAATTCCACGCGGACGAAGTCGCGGGAACTGCTAGTAATGCAATAGGCTTATACATCGGGTGAAACCGAGAGCACAGCAGTATAATATATAAATATGCAATTGAAAAGAAAAATATTTACACAGCATTAGTACAAATCAGAGATACCATTTGTGTGTTCGACTGTAGATAACTTAAAAATTACTGATCACGATACTATAAATACAGACATGCTATCAAATATTATTATTTGTTTTGTACACTCAGACGCATCATGAGTTTCTCAAACAAAGTGGTTATAGTGACTGGTTCAAGTTCCGGCATCGGAGCCGCTACAGCAGTTCAATTCGCTAAAGAAGGTGCCAACGTTGTAATAGTTGGCAGGAAGGAAGACAAACTGAAGAATGTCTTCGAAATATGCAGCAGGAGCGGTAACACGCCACTCCTCATCAAAGCTGATATTAGTAACGATGACGATGCTAAAAGAGTAATCAGTGAAACCATCAACAAATTTGGTAAAATAGACGTTTTGGTGAACAACGCTGGAATTTCTGACGGTGGGACTATCTTAGATGGAACTATATTGAAAGCGTACGATAGTATAATGGCAGTGAATGTACGAGCTGCTGTTCACCTTACAGCATTGGCTGCTCCTCATCTCGTCCAAACTAAAGGCAATATTGTGAATATATCCAGTGTAGCTGGAAAAATAGCAACAATTGCTGGATATCTAGCTTATGCTGTTTCGAAAGCTGCATTAGATCATTTCACTCGTGGCGCTGCTCTAGAGTTATCTTCTTCAGGAGTTAGAGTGAACAGCATTAGCCCGGGACCAGTAAGAACGGATATTATTGAAAATTCAGGTATATTGAACATGTCCTGGGATGATATGGGTAACATGACTCCTCTAAAAAGGTGCTCAGAACCTGACGAAATAGCAGAAATTGTTCTGTATCTAGCAAGTGAGAAGGCAAGAGGTATAACAGGATCAGATTTCGTCTCTGATAATGGAGCTCTTCTACATTTTACTATTCCGCAATAAAATTTATATATAAAATTCTCGTGTCATGTTAGTTACCATACTCCACTGAAACGGCTTGACCGATTTTTATGAAATTTTATATGCATATACAGTAGGTCTGAGAATCGGCTACTATCTATTTTTCATACCCCTAAGTGGTAAGGGATATCCACCCCTAAATATATATTTTTTTATTTTTTCGACATAATATATTTTTTTTTATGATTATTTAGGATTGAAAAATATATACAACCCTAAATTTTCACCCTTCTAACATCAACCCCTATTTTTTAATAACGATTTTAATTTATATGGCATATCAACGTTTTCTGGGACATCTAGTTTACATTATAAACTAATGTAATTTTATTCCTATTAGTAACTCAGTAATTATATTGTCTGAATTCATAAAAACAACATTGTATATTATATGTTACACTAGCTTTTGTCGGCGGCTTCGCTCGCGTTATCTTATCCCCTTAGGGGTGGAATTTATCAAAATCCTTTCTTAGGGAATCGGGGAAAGTCTCAGCCCGACCGGTTTAAAATTCACAAAATTTCATACAAACTTTCATTGTATATATATTGTACCCCTTGGGAGTAGAATTAATCAAAATCCTTTCGCGGATGCCTACGTCATAACATCTACCTGCATGCCAAATTTCAGCCCGATCCGTCCAGTGGTTTGGGCTGTGCGTTGATAGATCACTACGTCAGTCACCTTTGAGTTATATATATAGATTAACAAACATGTATAATATAGTATTAGATACACTATTGTATTGGGCTTAGGTAATAATAGTTGTGTAAATAAATAAATAAAGATCATCATCTGCTTCTTCCTTATCCCATTTATTTGGTGTCGGCGTAATATGTTTTTTTACTACGTGCATATGAATATAAATATGGTACATACACAAAAACAACATTTTTTGTCTGTCTGTCCGTTTGTTCCGGCTAATCTCTGGATGTACCGATTTTGACGGGACTTTTTTTGGCAGGTAGCTGATGTAATAAGGAGTAACTTAGGCTACTTTTATATTAGAAAAATACAGTTAAACTCCACGCTGACGAATTTGCGGGTAACTAGTATCAATTAAAATATTATAGACAATTCAGTGCATCGTTTCACACTTGACCGACCGACTTTCACATCCAAACAATAATATAAAGGTAGTAGTTAATTTAGTTAGAAATGAAAACAAAAACCAATGGTGAAAACAAAATCATTCACAATTTCCGTGTTAGACAGTAAATTAGAAAGATATGGATAGAGTTATAGTACAAGCGTTATTATCAAGTGATAACATACTTTTATATATGTTGGTGTATTTATAAATTTTATTGTGGAACTTATGTTTAATCATCACAGTAATCCAGCCGACGAGACAATTATCTAGACAAGTGTTTTTTATGGATGACAATGGATTGGTGCACTCGCCTGTGTTAATAGAATAGAATAGAAAATCATTTATTCATATAAACTTAATTTAAGCACTTTTTAATAGTCATAACAATTTTTAGGGGAAAGGGAATTGTTAGTAATGTGTACTAATGAGCCTATTGCTAGCAATGTACTATGTCAGGTTGACCTCCACGTGGTTCCCCCTGGAAATCATCGTGATAAATTCCCGGTGAATTTGTCACGATGGGCTAACTGATCTGACTTCATGTTCATCCTATCATCCTGTGAATACAAACTACCAACAAGCACTCATTTTTTGGGCCAAATATAAATATGCAATGAGATTAGATCAGTCGTAGTGATAAGAGCAGACCAGTCCCTACAAGCAGAACTCGTTCACGAGTATGACGGATGAGCCAGCCATCACTGCGCGCACTCAACCATATTTTAGGGAGCCCAATGACCCGGCCATGACATGACACATGACTGGTCATTTTAGTGAGCAGGACTACTCATTCCACTCGACCACGTCACAGCTACTAAAAATTACTATATGGTAGTTACAATATTCGCACTTTACATGAGTGGTTTACGCTGGCGGGGCAGCAGTGGAGGTATAATATATGTAATTTCTATTGAAAAAACAATTTTTAATATCGGATCAATCCAAAGGTAACCTCTTACAACCTCACAAACTTTACCTCTTTATAATATAACATTATATATATAAATATGACATTGCAAAAAATAGAGGTTTATATAATACTGCGCGCACTCAAAACAGGGTTATATAATTTAGCTACCCGGCCATGACATGACACATGGGTGTGCATATATTATATATATATATACACCTTCCTCTTGAATCACTCTATCTATTAAAAAAACCGCTTCAAAATCCGTTGCGTAGTTTTAAAGATTTAAGCATACATAGGGACGGACAGTGACTTTGTTTTGTACCATGTAATGAATATTAAAATTTAATAGTTTAAAATTTGAAAAACCAAACTGTGCTGTTGCTAAGATCGTAAATATTTAGAAGAATAAAGTATTGATACTGTACCAGTCTGAAAATCATATAAAACTTTTGTATTCGACTACACCTAGTGATAATTATAAATATCAATATACGATGCCATAAATATATATGTATTATGAAATATCCTATTTAGTATTGTTAAATCCGTCATGAGTTTTGCAAGTAAAGTGGTTATAGTGACCGGCGCCAGTTCTGGCATAGGAGCTGCTGCTGCAGTACTGTTTACTAAAAAAAGTGCTAATGTAGTGCTAGTCGGCAGGAATGAAAGCAAACTGAAGAATGTCTCTGAACGATGTGTCGGCAACACGCCTCTCGTCATCAAAGCTGATGTAAGTAACGATGATGATGCCAAGAAAATAATCAATGAAACAATCAACAAATTTGGAAAAATAGACGTTTTGGTTAACAACGCTGGAGTTTCTGACAGTGGCACTATCTTAGATGGAGGTATCTTAAAAGCGTATGATAGCATTATGGCAGTGAATTTACGTGCGGCCGTCCATCTCACAGCATTGAGCGCTCCTCACCTTATCAAAACTAAGGGAAATATTGTTAACATATCTAGTATAGGTGGAAAAACAGTTGCAATGTCACGATCCATACCTTATAATATATCGAAAGCTGCATTAGACCATTTCACACGTGGCGCTGCTTTAGAGTTGGCTTCTAAAGGTGTAAGAGTGAATACTGTTAGTCCAGGTCCAGTGAAAACGGATATTATAGAGAATGCAGGATTGTCGGATATAGTGAGCTGGGATGTTATGGCTGCAGCTGTACCTCAGAAGAGATGCTCCGAGCCTGAGGAGATCGCTGAAATAATTCTATTCCTAGCAAGCGAAAAGGCTAAAGGAATTACCGGATCAGATTTCGTTACTGATAATGGAGGCCTTTTACAGTTTCGCCTCTAATAAATATCTATTTGTGAACTGAATGACGTTGCAAGAGTTATTGTATGAACTATTTGTTATCAAAAATAAAGTGATGTATAGAGATAGACTACACAAGTGTTTTAAAAACTTTCTGTTTACGCGAACCCTCTGTAACGTGATCTCTGATGGATTAATTTAATCTGGTTGTTGGAAATTAAAACCACCTTGTTAATACTTTTTTATTTTTTAATGTTCCTGTCGCTGTTCTTCTTTTGTTTTATTATTGCAATTGATCTTTTCACAATATACGGAAGCAAATTATTTTCATTTATCCACAATTACATAGTTTTATTACAATCACCATAATAACCAACTGAGAAATCCATAATACTCCCCAACTCTGGTTTTCGTCACAGTTGCACGTTACACATATCTGTTACTGAGCAACAAGAATGCTGTTGGGTGGAAAGATGGTACTCTTGGGTGAAAAGATGGTACGCTTGGTGGGAAAGATGGTACTCTTGAGTGGAAAGATAGAGAGAGAGTAGCCACGGTTAAGACAAACTCTGATGTATTTGAAGCTCATTTGCTGTAGGCTATCTGAAGAGCACTTCATGCCTGTGGGAGGATGTTAGGTGTACATATGACCTCCTTATCGAATACGGTTTAAAAATAATTTATTTGTCAAATAAAGACATTATTATAAAAGAAAATATTATAAGAAAAGACAATTTCAATTCTTCTGCTGCAAACGTTATTTATTATTTAACACATCATCTCAAATACAATCTCAACACAAAAGAACCCCACCACAACAGATGAATTATACTTTGTATTCTAAAATCACATTGATTTAACCGCAGACTAAAAGCTACGACCTGTTTAAGTGATTTCATTGTAAATTACAGATTTTCTTATAATGTACAAACAAATGATTGTCGTTTTTCATTTATCAACCAAAAAAAGAATTGACTATCGCCTAGAGGCTAAATTTACAGCTTAAAAAACACTGAACTATGTATTTGCATTTTTTTCTTGTAAGGAGTTTAAAATAAATATCTTACTAATATTATTAATGCGAAAGTTTGTGAGAATGAATGGATGTTTGTTACTCTTTCACGCAAAAACTACTGAACGAATTTTGATGAAATTACAGTAACACAGCTTATACATCAGTAGGCTAGCATATAGGCTATAATTTAAAAAGATATTATATAAATTGGTCGATATATAATGATAAGGGTTACTCAATAATTTATAGTTTCATAGAAACAGTTACATAGGTGTTTTGTATATCAGGAAAATACATAAAAATCATCATTATATAAAAATATTAGTATTTTTAAACAAGAACTATAAGGCACTTTAGAATTTTATTTTTATGAGTAAGATTGTTCTCATAGCTTCTCATAGACGAGGAGAATCTAATTTATACAATTCCATGCATTCTAACGATTGAAATATGTCTTTTTAACATAGCATATAAATTATTAATTAATAGTATAATTATTATTTATATATTACATCTTATCAAAACAGACGTATATGCAGACAGCCTTAATAATAGTTTAATATGAATTTAACATAATAATTATCTACACTGTATCAATATAACCCTAATTCAAAGATAATTTTTGTGTTCGACTATACCAAGCATCAAAATCGCGATTACTATAAATATAGACGTGCTATCAAATAACTGTTATTTGTTTAGTGTAATCAGACACAGAATGAGTTTCTCAAATAAAGTGGTTATAGTGACTGGCGCTAGTTCCGGTATAGGAGCTGCTACAGCGGTGCAGTTCGCTAAAGAAGGTGCCGACGTGGTTATAGTCGGCAGGAAAGAGAATAAACTAAGAAATGTATCCGAGGAATGCGCCAGTAATGGTAATACGCCACTCGTAATCAATGCTGATGTAAGCAACGATGACGATGCCAAAAGAATTATCAACGAAACGATCAACAAATTTGGAAAAATAGACGTTTTGGTGAACAACGCCGGGATATCACGAAAGGGAAATATTTTGAATGGCACTATATTGCAGGCATATGATAATATAATGGCAGTGAATATACGTGCAGTTGTTCATCTCACAGCATTGGCCGCTCCTCACCTCATCGAAACTAAAGGCAATATTGTGAATATATCTAGTATAGCAGGGAAGTCAGCAGTACTAACAGATTATGGGGCTTATAATATTTCGAAAGCTGCATTAGATCATTTCACTCGTGGAGCTGCTCTAGAGCTATCTTCTTCAGGCGTGAGAGTAAACGCTATTAGCCCGGGTCCAGTGAGGACGGATATTATTGAAAATGCTGGGGTTTCAGACTTATCCTGGGATATTCTAAGTTCACTCACACCTCTAAAAAGGTGCTCAGAACCTGACGAAATAGCTGAACTTGTTCTGTATCTAGCAAGTGAGAAGGCAAGGGGTATTACAGGATCAGATTTCGTTTCTGATAATGGTGCCATTATGTAACGTAGTCATCATCATCTGCTTCTTCCTTATCTCATATATTTGTGGCCGGCGTAATATGTTTTTCTTTTCCATTCATCCCTGTTCGTAGTTATGATCTGTAATTGTGTAATTTACTATTCCGCAATAAATTGAAATTATGATGTAATTTTGTTGTATCCATAATACGAGATATAAAATCAAATTTTGCACTATATTTTAGTATTTACAATTTCTGCGATTTATTACAGTAGAAGAAAGATAAGGGTGAATGTCAAACATTTGAGTCGAATGTTTTTATCTGCTGATAATATATATTTGATGTATTTACAAAATTGATTGTGGAAACATATTCTAATCATTTCTGAAGTCTCGCAGCGAGACAACTATATACAAAAGTGTTATGTACAATATAGCAACATACCTGCAAAAATATTTAGACACTAACAAGTCAATGTCTAAATATTTTATAAGCATAGTGTCACTCGGGCAAATGTTGTTTTGCCGTTAAAATAATATAATAATCTCAGGACAATTCACACAGCGCCATCTAGTCCCAAGTTAAGCTATTTAAAGCTTGTGTTACGGGTACTAGATAACTGATACAAGTACATAGATATTTTTTTTGTAAATACATGCATATTATACATAGAAAACACCAAGACCGATACAATCAATCATACTCATGAATACAAATGTTTGTGCCGTGCGAGGAATCGAACCCGCGACCTTCAGAACGTAAAGCGGTGCGCTAGACCGCTAGACCGCGAGGTTGTCAAAAGTTGCCACCGAGAACCCACCATCACCGCGGTTGAAAGGTTAAACTGTTTAACTTTAAATTGGTACCAAATTCATTTAAATCACGCCATTATATAAGAAATGTTTAGCAATATTATCTAAAACTTCTGTATTCGATTACACCCAATGCCTTTATTATCAATATTCGATATTATAAATATAGATGCATTATAAAGTGTCTGTCACTTGTTTACTGCATTAAATTCTGTCATGGCATTTGCAAACAAAGTGGTTATAGTGACTGGTGCCAGTTCTGGCATTGGAGCTGCTACATCGGTGATGTTCGCTAAAGAAAGCGCTAATGTAGTGCTAGTTGGCAGGAATGAAACCAAACTGAAACATGTCTTCGAGAAATGTAGCAGGATTGGTAACACGCACCTCGTTATTAAAGCTGATGTAAGTAACGATGGCGATGCCAAGAGAATTATCAATGAAACCATCGACAAATTTGGAAAAATAGATGTTTTGGTTAACAACGCTGGAGTATCAGGCGGTGGCACTATCTTAGATGGGGGTATATTAAAAGCGTACGATAAAATATTAGCAGTGAATATACGCGCAGTCGTACATCTTACAGCTTTGGTTGCACCTCACCTCGTCGAAACTAAGGGCAATATCGTTAACATATCCAGTATATGTGGAAAGATGCCAGGACTGTCAAAGTTCATACCTTACAATATTTCTAAAGCAGCATTAGATCATTTCACACGTGGTGCTGCACTAGAGTTGGCTACTAAAGGTGTACGAGTGAACGCAGTAAGTCCAGGCCCAGTTAAAACTGACATTATAGACAACGCAGGCGTATCGGATGTAGTAAGCTGGGATATAATGGCTGCGGCCGTTCCTCAGAAAAGATGCTCCGAGCCTGAGGAAATTGCTGAAATTATTCTGTACCTAGCAAGTGAGAAGGCTAAAGGAGTTACGGGATCAGACTTCGTTACAGATAATGGAGGTCTTTTACAATTTCAAATATAAATGTAGGTATTTTATAAGTGAATGATTTATTAAGAGTCCATTTTTTTAGTTGTTACAAAATTTTATTGGTATAGGTTTAAACTTGTACAGTTATAAGATTCTATATAGAAATTAATAAATTTAGTATTGTGTGTGTATATACAATAAACTAATGAAATTGTTTCATTTATCCAGTACCTAGAATTAGATACAGAAATAGTAAAAAATATTTATCAATTACAATCATTTCTGAATGCTGATTTTAATATATTTCAAATAAATATAATAATAATAATAATTTCTCAAGTCAATTCAGACAGTGCTGTCTAGACCCAAGTTAAGCTAGCTAAAGCTTGTGCTATGGATACTAGACAACTGATACATATACATAGATTTTTTTTCGTAAATACACCTATACATAGAAAACACCCAGATCGACATAAACAAGATCATGAAGATCCGCATGGCCCGGGGAGGCCTGCGGATACTGCCGGACTCCTACCGGCTAAAACCCCTTGATGTCCTTCGCTCGCTACTAACGCCAGGGTCACGGGATCGACATAGCAGTCCACCGTGACTCTAACGAGGATCCTACCCTTGAGAGGCGCGCGCGGACATCACGCGTGCCTACTCCTGGCCTCACCCTCCTTAGGTGACGGCAGACTTCTTCGAGTCTGCCGCTGAGAGGCTCTTGGTCGGTGGGGATGGGCCGGATTTGGCCTCCGTCTCCTCCGCCCGCGCTGGTACGCGGCTTCCTCGCGAGCTGCAGTTCTTACCGCTGCCCCGGCATGACTAGCCGCATGTACAGCACCATGCCTAGATCTACCATCAACAACTAGTTTTTGCTTGCTTCCCAATTTGAACGATAGTAACAATGCCATAGCAACTCAGTCATCAGAAATGGTACCACGTAAATATTGTCATGGACAGCATAATATCCTTTCCAATTAATCCCATTTCAAACGGTGATCGAAATTACGACGACCTGACCCGAGGTTCGTACTCCAATTGGTCGCAAACTAAAGTCGCACCCGTAAGTGGCTGAACGCAACTCCTTTAGAATAGAATAGAATAGAATAGAATAGAAAATCATTTATTCAAATAAACTTAATTTAAGCACTTTTGAATAGTCAACATTTTTTTAAATCTACCGCTAATTCGGAAAGCTGTCTCATCACAAGAAGAATAAGCAAGAAACTTGTGTGTTGCTCTTTTAAACAATCCTTGTAAGTTCACGTTTTACAAGTCGAAACGTGTGAATACAAATTACCAACCAGCACTAATTTATTTAGGCTCAAATATAAATATACAATAAGATTAAATCAGTCGTAATGATAAGAGCAGACCAGTCCCTACAAGCAGCACTCGTTCACGAGTATGACGGATGAGCCAGCCATCACTGCGCTCGACCATATTTTAGGGAGCCCAATGAGTTTGTGTTTGTGTGTTTTGTGTGACTTTCGAGTTGTATTCAGCCACTCCATAAGTCCATTCGCGGGTTTGGAGTGTAATCTGCAATCGCCTCCTATCATTCGGTGATGTTAGATACTAGCCGTACTCGCGACTTCGTCCGCGTGGAATTTAACTTTATTTATCTAATACAATTTTTTTCTTTTTAAATAAAAGTAGCCTAAATTATTCCTTATTACATCAGCTACCTGTCAAGGAAAGTCCCGTCAAAATCTGTCCAGCCATTTCAGAGATTAGCCGGACCAAACATTTTACAATAGTAATTTTTTTTTCTACCATTGATTGGGAACGCTCTTTCATAACAAGAAGAACGAGCAAGATACTTGCGTGTTGCTCTTAAAATTTTATTTAATACTAGCTGTACCCGCTACTTCGTCCGCGTGAAATTTGACTTTATTTTCTAAAATTAGCCTAAGTTACTCCTTATTACATCAGCTACAAGCCAATAAAAGTTCCACAAAATCGGTCCAGTCATTTCAGAGATTAGCCAGAACAAACAGACAGACAGACAAAAATTGTAAAAAATGTTTTTTTGGTGTATGTACCGTATTTATATTCATATGCATGTAGTAAAAAACGGTTATTTCAATATTACAAACAGACACTCCAATTTTATTTATATGTATAGATGTATAGATTTATATGGTAACAACATTTGCAGGGACAGCTAGTAATATTATAAATTGTGTTTTTAAATTTTGAATCTTATTTATTTAATTTACTGTTTATAACTATAGTACACAAGTTTCTTGCTCGTTCTTTTTGTGATAAAACAGCTTTCCGAATGAGCGGTACATTAAAAAAATGATGACTATTCAAAAGTGCTTCAATGTAAGTTTATTTGAATAAATGATGTTCTATTCTATTCTATTATATTCACGCGCTATTAGCGTGATCATGTTATCAATGTATGGACGTATGTGTTTAAATGACAAGTCAAATTGTTATCAAATGATATTTATAGATTACATTTCAAATACATCAATATTTTTGACGCTCTCGGTGGGTTAACGGTCCAACTTACTTCCGATGGTCGCGGGTTCGATTCCTCGCACGGCACCTACATTTGTATTCATGAGTACGATTGTTTGTATCGTTCTGGGTGTTTGTATGTATAATATGTATGTGTTTACGAAAAAAAATCTATGTTTTTTTATCAGTTATCTAGTACCCATAACACAGGCTTTAGCTAGCTTAACTTGGGTCTAGATGGCGTTGTGTGAATTGTCCTGAGATTATTATTATTACTAGCTGTACCTGCGACTATATCTGCCTGGAATTTAACTTTATTTTACTAAAATAAGGGACATTTTCTGAAATGAAAGTAGCCTAAGTTACTCCTAATTACATCAACTACCTGCTAAAAAAAGTCCCACCATAATGGGTCCAGCCATTTCAGAGATTAGCCGGAACAAACAGACAGACAAAAATTGTAAAAAATGATATTTCGTTGTATGTACCATATTTATATTCATATGCACGTAGTAAAACACGGTTATTTCAATTACAAACAGACACTCCGATTTAATTTATATGTATACATAGATTATCATCTGTACTGTAATAAAGGATTATCAAAACTGATACGCATAATGTCAACGATGACTAAACAAATGTCTGTAAAAACTTTGTTTGTATGTGTATACGATATACGAAACCAAGGCCAATGATCATACTATGAGTATTATCACTGTTAGACTAGATGTTAGAACATAGTCATATCTCCTAAACAACAAATCGTACACACACATGCTCGATTTAGTATAAAAAAAACGATATCTCCTTTTCCTATATATTATAAACTAGCTTTTGCCCGCGGCGTCGCTCGCGTTAATTTATCCCCTTAGGAGTGGAATTTATCAAAATCCTTCCTTAGGGGATGCCTACGTCATAGTAGCTATATGCATGCAAAGTCTCAGCCCGATCGGTTTAAAATTTATGAGTTTCATACAAACTTTCATCCCCCATTTTATCCCCTTGGGGGTAGAATTATTTAAAATTCTTTCGTAGCGGATGCCTACGTCATAACATCTACCTGCATGCCAAATTTCAGCCCGATCCGTCCAGTGGTTTGGGCTGTGTGTTGATAGATCACTATGTCAGTCACCTTTGAGTTATATATATTTAGATTATTATATTAAAAATGCGAAAGTTTGTGAGTATCGATGTTTGTTACTCTTTCACGCAAAAACTACTAAACGGATTTGGATGAAACTTAAGAAAAGTATAGCTTATACATCAGAATAACGCATAACCTTATATATAAAATTCTCGTGTCACAGTTTTCGTTCCCATACTCCTCCGAAACGGCTTGACCGATTCTCATGAAATTTTGTGAGCATATTGAGCAGATCTGAGAATCGGCCAACATCTATTTTTCATCCCCCTAAATGTTAGGGGTAGCCCATCCCTAATTTTTTTTTTATTTTAAGGCAAAACAACGTTTGCCGGGACAGCTAGTATATATATATAGAAGTTAGACGCGAGTAAAACCGCGGGTACAGCACTAAGATTAACACCGTACAATCCACACGGTGCTAATTTTATACATAAATACTAAACAACTAATAGAAATAATATAAATAAATAACATAGAATAAATATTAAATATATAATATTAAATATTATATGTACATAGAAAGCATCCAAACCGATACAACTAAACATACAATCGTCGTGCAAGGATTCGAACTCGCGACTATCTCAAACAAGACAGTGTGCTAAGCTGCTAAACTACCGAAGTTCTTCAGTTTCAAAGAATACAATGAGATTGATGACCGCGGTGGTCCAGCGATCTAGCACACCACTTTACGACCGATGGTCGCGGGTTCGATTCCTCGCACGGCACAAACATTTGTATTCATTAGTATGATTGTTTGTATCAGTCTGGGTATTTTCTATGTATAATATGTATGTATTTCGAAAAATAACATATCTATGTATTTGTATCAGTTGTCTAGTACCCATAACACAAGTTAAGCTACCGAAGTTCTTTAGCTTAACTGGTGGATCTAGATGACGCTGTGTGAATTATTCTGAGATTATTGTATATTATGTACGTATTTACGAAAAAATATCTATGTATTTGTATCAGTTATGTAGTACCCATAACACAAGCTTTAGCTAGCTTAACTTGGGTCTAGATGGCGCTGTGTGAATTGTCCTGAGATTATTATTTTCTTTTTTTCCCCTCAGCTGTTGCTGGTTTTTTTGCACACACTTACGGTCCGAAACCAAGTAAATTATTATTATTATTATTATATCATTCTATTAATATAATCAATACATAACAAGTTTCATTATGACTATTAATTTATTTATCTCCATTCCATTCTCCTGATAATTATCTGAAATGTCAATGTTATGATTAATTTACAGAATACTAACTGTGCCCACTGTTTTATCCGCATGAAATTTGTAGCCTATATCTTATTCTGATGTATAAGTTATATTACTGTAAAGTTTCATCAAAATCCGTTCATTAGTTTTTGCGTTTGTTACCCTTTATTAACAAACATCCATCTATACTTACAAACTTTCGTTTATAATATCATTAAGACTAGCTCCTCCTTCTGGTAACGCTCGGATGCATTCAAAATCTTTGAATTTTTCGGCCTGTTCTATACTATAACACGCATGTATTATATATATAAACCTTCCTCTTGAATCACTCTGTCGATTCCTGAAAAGTGCACTAAAATCCGTTGCGTAATTTAAAAAATATAAGCGAACAGACAGCAACAACGACTTTATTTTATACTACATAAAGATTATATCACCAATTAAGCCACTTTTGTATTTGGATGTACTTATCTGTGTATTTGTACGTACATACTGTTTTGATATAAAGCTAACCTTGTTGCCAAACTTCAGTTGTTCAAAATCATTAACGTGGAGCGAACGTATCATGAGTTTTGCAAACAAAGTGGTTGTAGTTACCGGCGCAAGTTCCGGCATCGGTGCGGCCGCCGCAGTACAATTTGCAAAAGAGGGTGCTAACGTAGTGTTAATCGGCAGAAATGAGAGCAAACTCAAAAATGTCTCCGAGAAATGTGCCAGCAGCGGTAAAACTCTCATCATCAAGGCTGAAGTAACCAACGATGACGATGCCAAGAGAATCATTAATGAAACCATCGACAAGTTTGGACAAATAGACGTTTTGGTTAACAACGCTGGAATGGGTGTTAATGGGGGTATATTGAGCGGGAATATATTGAAAGCGTATGACCAGACAATGGCAGTGAATATGCGCGCAGTAGTACATCTAACAGCGTTAGCTGCACCACACCTTGTTAAAACTAAAGGTAATATTGTGAACATATCTAGTATAGCAGGGAAGATAGCATCCGCGGGAGATTTTACGCCGTATGCTATTTCTAAAGCTGCATTGGACCATTTCACTCGCGGTGCTGCTTTAGAGTTAGCGCCTTCTGGTGTGAGAGTGAATGGCATCAGCCCTGGACCAGTGCGAACGGATTTTTTAGAGAATGCAGGAATAAACGTGATATCCTGGGATAATATGGGTGCCCTCGTTCCACTCAAGAGGTGTTCCGAACCGGATGAAATTGCTGACATTATACTTTATTTGGCAAGTGATAGAGCAAAAGGAGTTACTGGATCAGATTTCGTTTCGGACAATGGAGGTCTCTTAAGATTTGATATTCCGTAATAAATATTGTGAAATTATATTATCTTTTCATCCAAAAACTACCTTAATATTATATGATAGTAATAGTGTTAATACTGATTGGTGTAAAAAAAATATCTATACTAATATTATAAAACTGAAGAATTTGTTTGTTTGTTTGTTTGATCGCGCTAATCTTAGGAACTACTAGTTCGAATTGAAAAATTATTTTTGTGTTGGATAGTCCATTTGTCGAGGAAGGCTTTAACCTATATAAAATTACGCAACGATCAATAGGAGCGGAGCTGCAATGAAAAATATTGCTAAAGGTTGGGAAATGAAACGCAGACGAAGTTGCTGGGTCAGCTAATATAAGATAAACTTCGGGAATCTAAATACTTATACTTGAGGGGCAAGAAAAACGTGGATAAAATTAAAATGCAAAAAGGGTGCATACCCTTTTTTTGCATTTTTTCCATAGACTGAAGTTACGGGCCTTCAGTCTATGGATAAAAAGGGCATAACTTAATAAAAAATTATTAAGTTATGTTATATTATTAGTGACAGCAGCTTAATCAAGTGTAAATTTGTAGTCACTATTGACCATAATCAAAATCCAATTAACTCAATTTCACTAATAAATCAAATAACAATGGTAGATGGCATATTTTTAAATATTTATGTATCTTTCCTTATTATAAGTTATTTGTATTAGGATGAACATTTAGGGTTATAATTAAATTTTAAAGCCATATTATAAAAAAAATTATAATATTAAAAATAAATGTTAAGGGTGGACAACCCCTATAACTTAGGAGTATGAAAAATAGATAGTAGCCGATTCTCATCACTACTGAATACGTATATAAAATTTCATAAAATCGGTCAAGCACTTTCGGAGGAGTATGGTAACTAACATATTGACACGAGAATTTTATGTATAAGACTAGCTGACCCGGCAAACGTAGTTTTGCCATATAAATTAAAATCGCTATTAAAAAATAGGGGTTGGTGGTAGAAGAGTATACATGCAGGGTTGTAAATATTTTTAAGGCCATATTTAAAAAAAAATATCTTAAAAATAAAGAACAAATGTTAGGGGTGGACAATCCACATCAGTTGGGGTAGATAGCAACCGATTCTCAGAATTACTGAATGTGCATATAAAATTTCATAAAAATCAGCTAAGTCCATAGTAATTAACATTGTGACACGAGAAATTTATATACAAGATCTTTGACTATCGTATTGTGAGAGAGATGGTTATATTCCTAGTTTATTTTAGTTTTCATTAAATAATTGCTAACGAATTAAACTAAACATTCATATTGTGACGTAGTGACACGTGACACACATATGAAAGAAAGAAGAAAGAATGAAAAACATTTATTGACAACCATTATTAATATAAAAATACATATATATATATACATATGCACACACACACACATATATATACATATATACATGAATACATACATACATAAATTACACTTTTATTACGAACACACTTAGAACAATTACAAAAAAAAATCATCATTTATATATATATATATATGGTTGGCAACATGACTGACACTCAGCATACGCCGTGACAGCTAACGTGAGGCTGGTCATGATGGCATTATCATTAAATGATGTCATTGACCTTGACAATGTTGCGGTTTAAAACAATATAAATATAACCCAATGATTATTATCCTAATGTTTGTACAACACTAACAAAACTAACTAGAACCGGTTTTAATTAACCTGCGCGTCTATTTAGAATATGCTCTGTATATATTATTTAGTAAATGTGACATCAGCTGATTGAGTCGTAATTCATATTTTGCCATTTTGGAACTAGATGGCGCTGTTATCAGTCACACAATAACTCAGTCTTGTTTTTTATACCACGTAGATGGCAAACCATCTATTCAAAATCTACCCTGTAACATCGTAAGCACAGAGTATTACAGAGTCCGTTAGTTTTCTGTTCCCGTACCTTTCGTTCCCCTCCATTACCTAATAACAAACGGACCGTACAGCGGCCTTGACGCGCGCGCGCATTTGTTGTGAATTGAAATAAATTAGAACTGTGAAACCTACTGTGAAACCTCCTGTGAAAGTGTGTGAAATCTAGCGAAGATACCTTCGAGACCCTGAAAGCAGAACCATAAAGTAAATAAAATCTAACGCAGAACCATAAAAATGGTGGAACCTCTTAAATCTTTTTTGACTGACGAAAAATTCTCTAATTACCTTTTCTAACATTTTGGTAGCATCCACTAAAAGAAGTAATCCTTTCCCAAACATCATCATACGGCCCATCTGATGGTAAACGATTTTTTTTTATTTCCACAGACAGCGGTCCGAGCCTTTGTTGATTTTATGTATCTCCATTAAAATTAATTACAATTTTCATTTCTTAACATTTTATGGTTTACCGCCCTATATATATATATATATATAGATATGTATATATATAACAATTAGAAATTACATTATATATTATAAATTACAATTAGAATCCGATCCAAAAACTATCAATAAACAAAATTAAAGTAACATTATATATTAATTCAAGTAATCTAAAATATATTGAATACAAAACCAAATCGAAAATTGAACAGTATTTGAGTTCATAAATATTTAAACCGATTATAATGGTCTTTTATACTCCATAACTCCGACAAGGGGGAGAGCAATCTGAGTGAAGGATTTATGTCTGATCAGTTAAGTAGAACCAGTTCATGGCCATTCCGACCTCTCGGTTATACTGGCCTGAAACACCAGGGGGAATGCGCGCTGAAAAGCACGCATTCTCTTGAAAAACCCCATGCTGTAGTCTCTCAAGAAAACAATTTATCTACAATCTTATGTCTGATCAGTTAACTGTCCGAGAACCAGTTCATGGCATTCCGATGGTAAACGGTAGGCATCATGGATTCATCAGAACACAGTCCGTTGGGTAGAACACACAAAGCGATGCGCGTTGGTTCGATACCCTTAAGATCAAACGTCTCTAATATACCCTCCAGATCTTGAAAAACCCCATGCGGCTGTAGTCTCTCAAGAGAAAACCTCAGCAGGTAGTTCATTTTTTCCACTGAATATTCTACGCAACGGATTTTGAATCGCTTTTTTAATAGAGAGAGTTTAGGAAGTATATTCTGAAACCGCACTGTACCGAGATCATCGACAATTTTCAAAGCGTCTTTGAATCGAGTCAAAAGGACCGATGGAGATGCTCCTGTCAATGATGAGCGAGATGCGATGGCTTATACAAAGGTATCTGGTCCGTAGGCATCATTTTTTTTCAAACAATTCATCAGAACACAGTCCGTTGTATATTCGGTAGAACACACAAAGCGATGCGAAGTCTCGCCTCAAGCTAAGTGGTTCGATACCGTTTGAGAGATTAGGATCATCGACAATTTTCAAAGCGTCTTTGAACCGAGTCAAAAGGACCGAGCTGGTATCCAGGTGCTCCTGCCCAATGATGAGAGCAGTACTCCATGTGCGGCCGAAACTGTGACTTATACAAGAGAAGTATCTGGTTCGCAGTGAAGTACGTGTATTTTTTTTTTATTATTAATTTTTTATTACTGAATATTAAGGAAACTACGCAACGGATTTTGAAGCTTTTTTAATAGAGAGAGTGTTTCAAGAGGAGGGTTTATATATATAATAATACATGTACACCCATGCGAAGGCGGGGCGAGTAGCTAGTAATTATAAAATTAATTTAAGAAATTGTCTGCCTGTATGTTCTTGTTGAACTCTGAAACAGTCTAAAACGGACTGTAACTAAATATAATAATAATCTCAGGACAATTCACACAGCGCCATCTAGACCCAAGTTAAGCTAGCTAAAGCTTGTGTTATGGGTTATGCTAGATTTCAAAATTTTTTTTCGTAAATACATACATATTATATGTAGACAACACCCAGACCGATACACACAAGCCTCGACTGGAATACAAATGTTTGTGCCGTGCGAGGAGTCGAACCCGTGACCATCGGACGTAAAGCGGTGAGCTAGGCCGCTAGACCACCGAGGTCGTCATATATATATTTTATATAAATCATAAAATAGGTGTAAATTACACATATACAGTTGTATCTGAGTAATTTATCAGTACATACTAATTACCTATCACCTTATCATGTTTGTAATTTTTATTACTCCAAAACTGATAAAATTTTTCAGTACAGATTTGAGTATGATTGTTTGTATTGTTCTGGGCGTATTCTGTGTATATTATACAATATATAAATTCAAATTTTCGTAGTAGTTTTAAAGATTTAAGCATACATAGGGACGGACAGACAGCGACAGCGACTTTGTTTTATACTATGTAATGATGAAGTGCTGTAAAATCGGTTAAGCTGTTTCAGAGTTCCACAAGAACAAACAAACAAACAGATATTATTTTTAAATAATTTCATGAATTAAGTGAGGAATATACTATCATATTGATGGCCTCGGTGATGTAGCGGTTAATCACACCGCTTTACTTCTGATGGTCGCGGGTTCATGAGTATACTATATGCTTATAATATGCTTCATCATCATCATCATCGCAGCCCGGAAGACGTCCACTGCTGGACATAGGTCTCCCCCAAAGATCTCCACGACGATCGGTCCTGCGGTGCTCGTATCCAATGCCTTCCAGCGATCTTGACCAGATCGTCGGTCCACCTTGCTGGAGGCCTTCCCACGCTGCGTCTTCCGGTTCGTGGTCGCCACTCGAGGACTTTACTGCCCCAACGGCCATCTGTCCTACGAGCTATGTGGCCTGCTCATTACCACTTAAGGGTCGCAATTCTTCGGGCTATGTCGGTCACTCTAGTTCTTTAGCGGATCTCCTCATTTCTGATTCGATCACGCAGTGAAACTCCAAGTAAGAGCTTGTTGATGGAGCCCATAGTTAGCGACCACGTCTCTGTTCTTCATTGGCAACACACATTGATCGTAAACCTTCGTCTTGAGACACTGCGGAAATTTGGACGAAAAGATATATCTGTGTGTGTTAATTTATTATTATTTTATTTATTCATCCAAAACAATACAAAGTGGACCACTAGGAACATTATACTCTTTATTTTTACTCCGATGGTCCGGGTTCATAGCACAAACATTTGTATTTGTATAATTGTTTGTGTGGGTCTGGGTATTTTCTATGTGTAATATGTATGTATTTACACGAAAAAATAAATACAGTTGTAAAAAACACGACACAACAGAATTGCACGTTCTGTGAAGTCTGAGATTATTATATTATTATATATATATTATATTATTATTATATTCTAAATAAATAGCATGACGTGGATCAATTATCAACTGATAAATTACCTATTGTGATAACAGTGTTTTTATCCTTATACATACTTTGATTTTTTATTCAATTCCATGTACAGTCACCTGCATTTTTTTTCGGACTACTCTATTGCTGTTGGCCTCAGCTGGCCTTTACAGCTTCACCGGACGTTAGGTGGCGAGTGCAGATGGACTTATTGAGCGACTGATAGCCAGCTCCTGCCTGACGGATACGACTTTAGTCTGAGGGCACCACTAGGGGTTCGAACCTCGGCTCAGGCCGTCGTAATTTCGATCCCCGTTTGAATTGGATGGGGGATCGATCGGAGGGGCGCCCGGGGACGCCGGTGAATTGCATGAATATGTCAATATTTTATATTATTGAGAAGAAGAAGAAGAATATAAATATAAATACGGTACATGCACCAAAATAACATTTTTACATTTTTTATCTGTCTGTCTGTTTGTTCCGGCTAATCTCTGAAATGGTTGGACCGATTTTGACGGGACTTTTTTTAGCAGGTAGCTGATGTAATAAGGAGTAACTTAGGCTACTTTTATTTTAGAAAAAATCTTTTATTTCAGAAAAATAAAGTTATTTTCCACGCGGACGAAGTCTATATACTATACGACGACGAAGTCTATAACAGACACTCCAATTTTATTTATATGTATAGATTTTATTGATAAATGCATACATAATATACACAGAACATCCAGACTGATACAAAGAATCATACTCATGAATACAAATGTTTGTGCCGTATAAGATATCGAACCCGCGACCATAGAAAGTAAAGCGGTGGCCAAACTGATAGATCACCGAGGCAATACATACATGTACCCAACACAATTACGTAATTCTACCTACCGTAGACTTTGATCTATTCAAAAACCCTACTGTAAAGTCTTCCATTGCACTAAAAGGTGTTAATATCGCTAATAATCATTGTATATTGAATTTGTAATTTACAATGACTTATCTATATATATATATATAAATCATCTGACCAATGTATTTATGTAAGAACACCACTTCGAAACAACTACACTTGTTTATCAATATCATCATCATCACCTGCTTCTTCCTTATCCCATTTATTTGTGGTCGGCGTAATATGTTTTTCTTTTCCATTCATCCCTCTTCGCAGTCATGATCTGTAATTCTGTAATTTATCATTTCGCATTAAATTATAATTATGATGTAATTTTGTTATATCCATAATTTAAACGATAACAATAATATAATATAACTAGCTGTCCCGGCAAACGTTGGTTTGCCTTAAAATAAAAGAAAAATTAGGGGTGGACTACCCCTAACATTTAGGGGGATGAAAAATAGATGTTGGCCGATTCTCAGACCTACCAAAATTTCATGAGAATCGTTCAAGCCCTTTCGTAGGAGTATGGGATCGAAAACTGTGACACGAGAATTTTATATATAAGATAATAATATCTCAGGACAATTAACATACCGTCATCCAGTCCCAAGCTAGCTAGAACTTGTGTTATGGGTACTAGACAACTGATACAAGTACATAGATATTTTTTTTTCGTAAATACATACATATTATACATAGAAAACACCCAGACCGACACAAACAATCATACTCATGAATACAAATGTTTGTGCCGTGCTAGGAATCGAACCCGCGACCATAGGACGTAATGTGCGCTAGACCGCTAGACCACCGAGGTCGTATATAAGCTATAAGATTCTCTTCCATTCATCCCTGTTCGCAGTCATCTTTCACACAATCCATCCATTTCTTTTTTGTCCTTTCTCTACCTTTATAACCATCAACATATGTATCCATTCTCAAGATACATTCCTTTCTTAAGATATGATCTTCATTCCTACACATTACATGTCCATACCACCATAGACGATTATTCTGCAACCTCTCCGACACCGGCGCCACTTTCATACTTCCTCTAATGTAAATTTATTCTTCGTCTTGTCCATTTATGTCACACCATACATTCATTAAAGGATACTAATAAAAATCTACACAACACAAAATTTATTTACTTCGTTTTTAGAACCTAAGTTAGTATAAGTATGTAATATTATATTATCTGTGGTACAAGTAAAGAAAAATCCGTAAAAAGACGGTTGAGGACAAACTATATCGCGTTTCACTTTCTGAGTAACGCCATCTAGTATCAAATTAATGAATCAAAAGTTTCTTACATTTCTAATAATAGCCGTGCGAATACAGAGCAATTAACTAGAAGTAGTTATAAATCATGTGAACAAGCTAAAGCAACAAGAAACCTTTTATCTTTGAAAGATATATCTTCCAATCAACCTAATATAGTAACTGATCAGGCAGGAGTTTAATGTCATCCAGAAATATTTTTCATACCCTACCATACACTATCTACGTATCGCCATATAAAAACTTTTGTGGTCAACTGTACATAGGTATTGATAGAGGTAATCGTACTTGATAATCTATGTACATAATTTTTTCTAACACTATTGTCAGTTGTTTAGTATCGTTAACGATAGTAGGACACATCATGAGTTTCACTGACAAAGTGGTTATAGTGACAGGAGCTAGTTCCGGCATTGGTGCTGCGACTGCAGTTGTGTTCGCTAAAGAAGGTGCCAATTTAGTGATAGTTGGCAGAAATGAGGATAGACTGAATAAAGTAGCTGAACAATGTGCCAGCAGCGGTAACCAGCCACTTATTGTCAAAGCCGATATGACAAACGATGACGATGTCAAGAAAATCGTAACGGATACCATAGAGAAATTTGGAAAAATCGACGTACTAGTAAACAACGCTGGAATGTCAGTTTCTGGTAGCATACTGAATGGAGACTTATTGAAAGCATACGATGAAACATTAGCTGTGAATCTACGTGCAGTTGTTCATCTCACAGCCTTGGCTACTCCTCATCTTGTGGAAACTAAGGGCAATATTATAAATATATCTAGTATAGCTGGAAAGATGGTAACAACTTCCCTCTCTTTGCCCTATAGTATTTCTAAAGCTGCAATAGACCACTTCACTCGTGGCGCAGCCTTAGAACTGGCGCCATCAGGAGTAAGGGTGAACAGTGTTAGTCCAGGACCAGTAAAAACTGATTTCTTCGATAACGCAGGAACGGTAATATCCTGGGAAATTATAGCGTCTCGTATCCCATTGAAAAGGTGCTCTGAACCCGAAGAGGTTGGCGATATTATTCTTTATCTAGCAAGTGATAAAGCAAAAGGCATCACGGGATCCGACTTCGTTTGTGACAATGGAGGTCTTTTGAAAATAGGTTAAAGTGAGGGAATAAATGATGTGCCTATTTAAATTATTTCATTTTTTTATACTTAATACGCATCTAAATTAACACTATTGTTCAGGACTCTGGAACATTCGGGTTGGCACGATATTCCGTATATTTTAATATTTATATTTTTATACGAATATTATCTAGTTGCCATGGTGTTGTTATTCCTCTTGCTTTTTTATACAATACGATCAGATATATGTGTTATACATTCATATTGCGCCTTTAATAACCACCATCGTTGGCTGCACTGACCCCAGCGCCCTACACAACTATATTTGGCATGTTCTTGTAGACGATCAGAATTTGTAGAAACGTAATATGGATGTTTCACTGGGAGAAACTACTTTCAAATTCATCTAGATACTTCTATCTCTTATTTACTTCCAAATAGTTTAATTTTCTATTTGAATGATGAGATATAATTATAATAATTTGCAATTAGACAACATAGTAAATACATTCATTTTGTTATGTTAGTAATGAAATATGACAGCCTTTAGCTCTCCCAGAATATCTAGTTTATTTTAAAGGGTTATTACAGGATTTGGTAGTAAAATTACAGGATACGGAACTATGACAATGTCTTTAGTAGTCGCAATTTTAATTGTACTATAGGCGTCATAAATCCTTTCATATCTACCGGCAAAGATTACAATAGTTTGTAGTACGATGGTTATCACCTCACCACTGTGTTATGTGATGAGGTGCTACTTAATTTATAATTTATTGTAGTATGTAGGTTTTGAGTATACAAGTGTAATGATACTAAATTGACAAGTTTATTACATTATTAGAAACGTGGACACACAACGCGGAGTCATTCAAAATCAAATTCAAAAATCATTTATTCATGTAGGACATTTTAGCCGCATATGAACGTCAAGTTTTTACATTATATTTTTTTTCCTACCGTCCAGTTCGGTATATAGATCCAATTGAGAAGAACAGACAAGAAACTCAATTGAATTTGTTAAATATCCCACTTTGAATATTGTCTCATTATTATAGCTGTTTGGGTTTGTTCCGTTGCTTTTAAAAAGGTGAAATAACTTTGGCGCCAAAATGTAAAAAACATAATATTATAGAGATCAGAAGAGAACTGTAGAGAAAAAATATATATTGTCATATATATTACATAAATACGTCATAACAGTTTTCAAAGTGATGTAATGTACAAATATATTTAAGGCTACAAATTAAAGATATATGTTTAGTGATTACAGATTTGATTGATTTTAATTGTTAGTATAGAAGATTCCCTATTAAACAGAATTATTTTTTCTTTAAAATCCAGTTTATTTACAATGCATAGGCATTTATATAGGTGTCTATGTCTAACATTAAATGAAAATCCCGAATCATAATGCGATATAGTGAATTGAAATCTATTGTGTGAAGACGTAAACAAATCGAAGGGTGCCGAATGTTCATAGAAATATTACAGTTCCTTATATAAGTGGACCAATCCGTGAGCATATAATTATTAGCATAAAAAAGAGACACGTTTACATTACATATCCTGACTAATATTACAAATTCGAAAGTAACACTGTCTGTCTTTATGGCTTTCACGCCAAAACTATTGAACCTGTTTAAATCAAATTTATTACACAGATAGTCTAGACCCAGAGAAAGGACATTTGTAACGACAATAATCTGTATTGTCAACATTCGCGCCAATTTTTGACTTGACATTTTATACATTCGGTGATTTCATATAATAATCCAGTAAGGATTCATAATGTGGATTGTTATATTATGGATGTAATCGTTTTAGTAACATTTATATAATTGGATATTGGTATAATACACATTTTAATTTGTTGTGTCACTGTTAGGAATTTAACAGAAAAGGTAATTATAGAAAAAATTTTTTTCGAGGAAGTTGATGCGGTATAATACATTTTTAGTTTTTTTAATGTTGGAACAGAAAAGGTAATTAGAGAATTTTTCTAAAGGCTACTTTTTAATGTTAAGAGGTTCAAAGGGGAGATGAAAGGTTGTATAGAAATATCACCATTTTTAAAGCTTAAACTCTATGTTTGGGAAACTACTTTGCTACCAAAATGTTAGGGAAGCGTCAGTCATTTACCTTTATGGTTCTGCGGATTTCTTGGGCTTCAGGGTCTCGAAGGTATCTTCGCTAGCTTTCCAGCTTCACAGTAGGTTTCACAGTAGGTTAACACAGTTCTAATTTATTTTAATTCACAACACAATGCGCGCGCGCGTCAAGGCCGCTGTACAGTCCGTTTGTTACTAGTCAGGGAGGGGAAGGGAACGCGCGGGAACAGAAAACTAACGGACTCTAATATAATATAATATCTGTGCTTACGATGTTACAGGGTAGATTTTGAATACTCTACCTCTAAAATTTTAGGCTGTTGATTAAATATAGGTCATTCAAACTTTGTAATAATTTGTAAAATAAAATGCTAAACCAAGGTGACTATTCCAGCGGACGAAATCGCGGGCACACGTAGTTGATTTTGATTTACAATAGATGATTACGTTTTAAAAGAAACTTTCGACTTAAAACTAACAGAGTAGATTTATTTTACTCAAACACAAATAGAACAGCGTTCCCGGGTACAGCTAGTTTACAATATATTTTGTTCTCTCTTGAGAGCGTTTTAAAAGAAAGTTTCGAACTTAAAACTAACAGATTTTTAGATTTATTTTACTCTAACACAAATATAGAACAGCGTTATCACCATCGTCACTAGGAGGTATCAACCTTGTAAAATGATTAATGGTGCTGGACTTACATTCATTACTGTAATCAATTATGTAGATATCTATTGAATTGTAAAGATTAGGTTGTTATTTTAATGCCTCAAAAATATGAGTTTTCATCAACTATATACAATTGTATATAATTGAAATATATAAATATATAAATATATAAACAGTAATCTGTTTTGAGGAAATCAGGATTAATTACTATCTGTCAAAGATATATGATATTTTTTAATATTATGAGTCATTTTGTGTCAAAAGGAGAGTAGGTTTTGGTCGGTACGGTCACGTTACAAGAAGACCAGAAAACCATATGACCCAAAAGGTACAAAACGTTAATTAAAAACAAGAAGCATGGAAGCCTTCGACTAACATGGATAGCTGCCATCAAAAATGATCTAACATGTGAAAATTGATACCCAATAACGATGCAGACACGAAGTCTCTGTAGACTGACGATTAGGTGAGTAGACACTAATTAAGATGAGATACAACCAGCAGAGAGAGAAGAATGGCTTTTGTATTTTAGAATAAAGCTTACTATATTTGAAGTGAAACCTAATAAATATTTACAACAAAAAATATAATCAGATTTACAACATTGTCATAAATATAAATTATATCTATGCTCATAATTTAAAAAGATAAATAACAAATAAGTATATAAATATAAATAGTTTGTAAGTATGGATGGATGTTTGTTACTATTTCACGCAAAAACTACTTAACGGATCTTGCTGAAACTTTACAGTAATATAGTTTATACATCAGAATAATATATAGGCTATAAATTTCAGGCGAGTAAAACCGCGAGCACAGCTAGTGCTTGTATAAATTATACACCTCTCAGTGTTCACAATTAGTTCTACAAAATCTTTTGCTGTATGAAATCTCAAATGAAGTCATTAACATAACAATAATATCAGAGAAAAATATAAATAATTAAAAAAAACAGTGTTCGGTATAGTAGATAAAATTAGATACTGCAGTTACCTATTATAATCTATATTAAAATAAGCCTACAAAGCAAACGTTGTTTTGCCATATAAATTAATATCACCATTAAAAAATAGGAGTTGATGGTAATACCATATAATAAGTATATTTATGGTGTTTTTATTTGTGATACGAGTTTAGTCTGAGGGCACCACTAGGAGTTCGAACCTCGACTCAGGCGGTCGTAATATCGATCCCCGTTTGAAATGAACGGGGGTTCGATCGGAGGGGGGCAGGTAAGTGTCTACAAATATTAAATTAAAATTTCGTTTATGAACAACTATTGCCATACACGTTTGTTAATTAAGTAATCATTTAGTGACTAGTATTTGAGTTTTATTTATTTTAATAATTGACGACCTCGGTGGTCTAGCGGTCTAGCACACCGCTTTACGACCGATGGCAGGTTCGATTCCTCGCACGGCACAAACATTTGTATTCATAAGTATGATTGTTTGTATCGGTATGGGTGTTTTCTATGTATGATATGTATGTATTTACAAAAAAAATATCTATGTATATGTATCAGTTATATAGTACCCATAACACAAGGTTTAAATAGCTTAACTTGGGCCTAAATGGCGTTGTGTGAATTGTCCTGAGATTATTATTATTATCAAATTTCAAATTCAAATTCAAAAATCATTTATTCATGTAGGACATTTTAGCCGCTTATGAACGTCAAATTTTTACATTTTAATTTTACTTTTTTTCCCTACCGTCCAGTTCGGTATATAGATCCAATTGAGAAGAACTGGCAAGAAACTCAATTGAATTACTTTTTTTTTTTAAAGCCAGTTTATTTACAATGTATATTTATATAGGTGTCTATGTCTAACATTAAATGAAAATTATTATTTGTGTTTCGCTTTCTCAGCCTTTTTGCTGGGGTTTTACGCTTTGTGGCGTATACCACACTTACGGGCCAAAACCAAGTAAGTGCAGTGTGTGTGTTTACGGGTGTGTGTGAGTGTGTGGGCGTGTGCATGTGTGAGTGTGTGTGTATGTGTGTATGTGTATATTGTGAACCTTTTAATAGAGGTGATAGGTGTTTATCTACCTACCTACCTGTTATTAAAGTTATCACGAAAATTTCTGGGAATAGACGTAAATGACAAAACTATCATTTACGTCTATTTCCAGAAATTTTCGTACAATTCTACAGGTATTCAAAATGGCGGGTGTTTGAAGGGTGGTGTGGAGCGATTTTTCTAAATGTAATTGTTTGAGACTATGTATAAGTGATTAGGTATGATACCTGTGGATGAGAGAACTATCGGTATTATATACATTCCTTCCTGTTATTATTATTATAGGTTTTGCTCAATAAATATAACAGCGTGTGTAATTTTTTTTTATTGATTTAATGTTCTTTTTTTAATGCAAATCTTAAAAAACTGTTAGTACTCAGCACTCTTTCTCTATGTGCTATAAGTGTTCGAAATTTCGTACACATCCGACCGCGCAAGTTTCTTAAAAAGAGGTTAAAAGTTTTCCTTCGCACATTAATAGATTAAATACGATTTAATATTGATATAAATTAAAATTATACACCAAAGCAACGATGAAAGTAATTAATTAAATATATAACAATATGATAAATATCTATACTTATAACAAATCTGTAGAGAGAGAAATCTATAGACAGAGGAAGGCCGAAAAAGAGATGGATGGACTGTGTGAAAGATGATATGGTAAGAAAGGAAGTAAATGACGCGATGACTGCGAACAGGGATGAATGGAAGAGAAAAACATATTACGACGACCACAAATAAATGAGATAAAGAAGCAGATGATGAATAAATCTGTAGAGAGGTCAATTCTGTACATGAAATTTATTTCCAAAATAACAATCAGGGGGTGATGATCGATACTGATGTCAAAAATGCAATCAGTAAAAATTTTGTCTGTCTGTATGTTTGTTATTGAAACGAAAACTACTCGACGGATTTTAACGATACTTGATATAATTATTCTACATACTCCTGGGCAGGTTATAGTATACTTTTCATCACGCTACCAATAGGACCAGAGCAGTGAACGTTAGGAAAACACATCAAAACCACTAAACCGTGAGGAAGGACCTAAGATACTTATTTTACGAAAAACCACGGAAATGCAGACGAAGTCACAGGCAACAGCTGGTATAAATTAAAATAATACATTAAAACAACAAATAACAATATCTTAATTATTTACACAAAGTCAGATTAGTCTAAATCAGTCTATTTCTAACTTCTTAAAAGAGCCTTCGACTCCTCCGAATATATCTGATATGGTCTTCGGCTTTCCTGGTCTCCGAGCTTCTACCACACGTTTCTTATTCTCTGCCACGAAGTAGTCAACGTTCGCTTTCAAAGCTGCAATCACGTCATCTGAAATAAAAGTTTTCAGGTTTTAACTATCCGACTTACTTTCGATGGTCATGGATTCCTCTAACGGTATAAGCATTTGCTCAAATTCAAATTCAAATTCAAAAATCATTTATTCATGTAGGAACGTCAAGTTTTTACATTATTATAAAAAAAATTATATAATTTTTTTCCCTACCGTCCAGTTCGGTATATAGATCCAATTGAGAAGAACTGGCAAGAAACTCAATTGAATTACATTTTTTGTAATCATGAGTATCATTGTTTGTATAAAAAATGTATTTATGTGTCTGTATCAGTTGTCTAATATCAATAACAGAAGATGTAACTAGCTTGGGACTAGATGAGGCTGTGTGAGTTGTTCTGGAAGTAAAGAGGTCGAAATCTTCATTCTCGATGTGAAACTTTTTTTTTCCTACGATGGTGGTAAACAACCAAACAGCCGATCTGATGGTAAACGGTTACCGTAGCCTATATACGTCTGATACATCAGGGGTGTTACGTACACGTTGCCGACTCTTAAGAGACCATAATAATTCTTTAATAACCCCATGCTGTAGTCTCTCGAGAAAATCTCGGCAGGTAGTTCATTCCATAATCTAAATGTACACTGGAGGAAGATAGAAGAATATATAATGAGTAAAATAGAAGAGAGTTTATATATTAAAATAGCCCATATCATCATCTGCTTCTTCCTTATCCCATTTATTTGGAGTCGGCGTAATATGTTTTTCTCTTCCATTCATCCCTGTTCGCAGTCATCGCGTTATTTACTTCCTTTCTTACCATATCATCTTTCACACAGTCCATCATCTCTTTTTCGGCCTTCCTCTGCCCTTATAACCATCCACATTCATATGTAACACCTTTCTTAAAATATTATCCTCATTCCTACGCATTACATGTCCATACCATGATAGACGATTACTCTTCAACCTCTCTGACACCGGTGCCACTTTCATACTTCCTCTAATGTATTCATTCTTTATCTTATCCATTCTTGTCACACCACACATCCACCTCAACATTCTCATTTCAGTTGCATGCAGTCGTCTTTCATCCGTCGCCTTTACGGGCCAGCACTCTGATCCATACAAGACAGCAGGCCGGATCATAGCCCATATGTGATGTGAAATTTCATTAAAATCAGTTCAGACATTACATGACATAACTGTTAACGGTATGAATAGGGGCTTTATTTATATGCCAGTTTTTGTTGTATATAAGTAGTTTATTCTAATAATAGTAATTTACAGCTATATATAGTAATGAATCTGAATCTAATCACTGAATCATCTAATGAATGAATCTGATCACTAATTTTTGTATACTGTTCGTATACAAAAATTAGATATTTAATTAGATGTTCGTATACAAGAATTAATTAAAGAAGTACAATGGTTGAAGAATGTCTGTAGAAGAAGTCAAATTGTAGATAGTTTCCCGCGTAAAACCAACGCGCCACAGATTCAAAATATATGGACGGCGCGCAGTCGCAGTACGATTGATGAGTGCACCACGGCAGTATGCGCGATGTTAGATTGAGTAATAACATAACAAACAGACAGTCACTATTTAACATTTATAATATTAGTATATCTAGCTGTCATCAAGACAACTTCATCCGACATTTCAAAATAAATAGTCTAAGTTACTCTTTACATCATTAGCTATCTGCGAGAGAATGTCCCGTCAAAATCGGTCAAGCCGAGACAGACAAGAAATATCAAAATATTTTTTTTTATGTAAGTACCGTACTTTCATATGTATTGAGTGAAAATTTGTTAATTTGAGATTATTTACATTTATAAAAAAATATGCGTACAGTAATTACACATGTGCGAATCCGGGATAGGTAGCTAGTAGTAATAGTACTTGTCAAGACAAAACTCACTCACCTCTACATTCATTGAAAGTCTTATATTTCCCACCAGCTTCTTTCGGAAGGCCTGCAGTCGACACGAACTGTTCCAAACTCTTAGATCCGATCTGGTGAATATGAAGAACATCGAGCAAATCCTTCTTCATGAAAGGCTTGATCATCATCATCAGTTTATCCATGAAGGAGGGCGCGTTCAGAAAATGTAGACCTTTGACCTTCATAAGCATTGCTTCCTGAAAATGAAGAGTCTATTATTTAGAATATAAAAGAATTTATCAAGTCTTACGTTACATAAAAATAAATCTTCGTATATAAAAATTACGTGTCACGTTGTTTGTCCGCGATGGACTCCTAAACTACTGAACCGATTGTAAATTTGATTTGAAAGATAATATATACCAACTTGAAAGATAGGATCTTTACATGACGACCTCAGCGGTCTAACACATCGCTTTACGTCCGATGGTCGCGGGTTCGATTCCTCGCACGGCACAAACATTTGTATTCTTGACTATGATTGTTTGTATCGGTCTGGGTATTTTCTATGTATAATATATATGTATTTACGAAAAAAAAAACTATGTATTTGTATTTGTATCAGTTATCTAGTACCCATAACACAAGCTTTAGCTAGCTTAACTTGGGTCTAGATGGCGCTGTGTGAATTGTATTGAGATTATTATTATTATTACATCTATACAATATATGCAATTTATAGTCGCAATATTATTTTATTCAAGAACCTTAGCCATTGCTGTGGCTACTGCGTGGCCGGGTCTGCTAGTATGTAAGTAGATAAAAACTATCGCTCCTAAGAATATCCTTCAATACTTGTCCCTGACGAGTCTCTACGAGTTTCTACCAGTCATTCGGAACGCAGACTCATCACAAGAAGAATGAGCGAGAAACTTACATGTTGCTCTTTTAAATAAAGGTAGTAGGTAGGTCACCCTTACATTTTTAGTATTTGGTGTAATGAAAGGGGACAAATAGTAGAGTTGAAATAAGTAAATAAATTGTTACTAAAGCGACAAAATAAATCTACCATAACTATCAGAGCAGACCAGTCCTCACAAGCTGTACTTGCTTTACGACTACAAAATAAAAAAACTTTTTTACTTGTTTCAGAATTAAATAAAGTGTCATGTGCTTTTTTAAGTTTAGTTACGCTACAATTTTCTGAACGAACCTTGTTTGACAGTTTCTATGGGAAAATAAAATTTGTGTTTTTATTATTTTCTAGGCAGTTTCTTCGTATTTCATCACCGTGGAAGTTAAGGGAAAGCTCAAAGCTTTCCCTGAACTTCCACAAATATTTCAATACTTTCAGCCGTACTCGAGTTTTCAATTCATTTTTATATAAATAAACATATAGATATATTTTATATAAATATATAGATAAATTTTATATACAAAAAAAAAAGCTTTCCCTGAACTTCCACAAATATTTCAATACTAAAATTAGCGAAATCGGTTCAGTCGTTCTCGAGTTTTAGCGAGACAGCAATTCATTTTTATATAAATAAACATATAGATATATTTTATATAAATAAATAGATAAATTTTCTATACAAAAAATAAAAACAAAATAAATTAAACTCTATGCGGATGAAATTGCGGGTAATGTTAATTCAGCAATAGCATAGGCAACTACATATAGAAACATTACCTGTAAAAAATACAGAAATTGTTGTATAGTCTGCAGGTCCAATCTGGCTAGGTGGCCCAGCGTTATCCTGTCGAGGTCAATCAGAATCACGAACCCAGGCCACGTGCCCGTCTTGTACTGCCACAGGTCGACCACCATCAAAATTGTCCTGGAAAATATATATCAAAAATATTGGTATAAAACAGAAAAAAAAAACAGTGAAACAAGACTTTTATAACGGATTGGATTGGATTGGATGACTTTTACAAAATGTATCTCGACTGACAATAATCACAAACTAAGAGCAAATGATGAAAGATGGTCAAGCAGGCAAGAGGAAATTAATATAACTTACTTTCGATTTTCACAAATTTTTGTATTCATAGGCATGATTGTTTGTATCGGTCTGGGTGTTTTCAAGGCATAACAAACATTAATGTTACAAACAATTGTTAGCAATTTTCATACCTTACGCAATCAGCAAAGACGAAATGTTTCGGATCGTAGTCCAACAATCTTGAATAGATTACGGAGTAATTCTCCCGAGTCTTAATTTCCAAAGGTAGCAGCAATCTGAAACGTCAACAATGACTTGATTAAAGAAACTGTAATAGATTTTGATGACATGGCTAAAATCATGCTTATCAGCAATGATGACTCAATCCTTATACTTATGAAAGAGTTTTGTTTCTTCGAAACACAGCCAAATACAGAGTCTTCAGCACTCTTCTACAAGGATCCAAGTTACGATGTCAGAGCAAACCTGTTTGTCTGAACAAATTGTTCTTTTGCAGGAGCAACAACCCCCGGGGAATGTTCAGGGTTGGCAAGCAGGTTGGCAGGCTCTTTAATTAACAAATCTTGAATTTAATATATACAAAAATAACTTTAATCCCAGTCTTGCAAATTCTTTGAATATTTTTATATAAATTATTTCCATATCAATTGCTAGCAATATATAGTACATTGCTAGAAATGAGGTTATAGATCCAGGTTGTCAGGTTGACCACTACGTGGTTTCCCTGCAAACCATCGTGATAAATTCCTGGTGAATTTGCCACGATGAGATAACTAACCTAACCTCTCATGCTTATCTTATATTCTGCCAATGGTATCCCGCGCATACCATTATGTTTGTTTGCCACCATAGTAGTATAAAAAAATAGCGCAGATGGATGCACCATAATCAAGCAGTAAAAAAGTTGTCATATACGTCTGTTAAATTTGAATAAATGATATTTAATTTTATCCGAAGACGAAGTCACAAGCACTTATTTTTATTCAGGGTTATTGTCAGGTGCTCAGACCAGTAACACTGAGTCGTACATATATCTATTTTTTTTTTTATATAAATACATTTTTCCATAGACATATTCGTCCGTGCCTTTTTTAATTTACTTTAATATTATTATATTTATTTAATTTCCACTTTTGTACAACTCCAGCCGAGATGTTACAATTTGCCTAACAGTGGCACTGAGGCAGACCTTATCCGTCTGGCCCAGAACCACCGCTGGCCGGCCGGGTGAGTTGACAACGTGCAGTGTCACCCATCTTTATTTGGAGGATTAGATTTAACAATATGCATGTACAATTATATAAATCTTACACTACTACTAATTTCACAGTTTTCATTACATTGTGCAATGTAAGAATTCATAATGTAACAATACACATTATGAATTCTTACACTGCATATACAATTATATGAAATCTTATTTTAACATTATTTTCAAAGTTCACTATTTGTTATAGTCCAGGTTTTGTTTAATTATTGATTGTTTAATTTCACAGTTCACTTTTTGTCGTAATTCGGCAATTTTTTTTTCCCCTTATATAATATACATAGATCTATTATGCTCGCCCTTATTGACCATTCGCTACATGGACCCGTTGTGGAAAATAATTGAGAAATATTCTTAGCAAGCGATGGTTTTTCGAAGTTGCACGTATCGTCTGGTATCTATCTATAATATATAAAGCTGCATTACGGTGACTCACTCACTGATTGACATAGTTGTTCTCCCAGAAGGAGCGTCCGGGGGTCGAGACGATGTATGGGGGAAATGTTCCTTTGGCTAGGGTGACCACGAGAAAATTCCGAAATTTGGGAAAATCCAAGATGGCGGACAAAGATGGCGGCTAACTTTTACAGTTTCGCTCGGATCGATTCCGTTCAAAGAGTGATTTGGCACGTCTCGGCGGGACCCAGAATATGGCGTAAAAACAAAAAATTAAAATCCAAGATGGCGGCGAAAAAATTGCCAAAAACTGGTTGAAAATTTTCTAGGGTTTCAAAAACCGAAATTCCCAGGGTAGTTGCGGGGGTGCTGGCGACACCGGTTGTAGGGCATAGGAAACTCGAAGGACCCGACCTCTAGGGAAAATTATGAAATTTCGAAAATCCAAGATGGCCGACGAGTTGGGGGCGTGTGAATTTGGTCCTAAAAATCCGGATTATTTTCAAAATCATTTTTTAGGTACAGGGCAACCCCGCAGCGAGTCGGCTTCTATGGGGCGATGATGGGTCTCGGTAAGAAGTATTGCCAGCGATAAAAAGAATTTCCGAATTTAGGGTAATTTGGGAGAAATGTCCCAAAAAGTGGGAAAAAATTTTTTCGGCATTTTTGACAAAAGAGGCATCAAGGCCTATCGAGAAACATCCCCTAAAGGGTTTTAGGTGGGTTTTGTTGGAATTTGCTGGCAACACCCATACATGGTTTGACCAAAATAGAAATTGGGGTGTCTCTCTAAAAACTGAAATTCCTAGGGTACTTGCGGGGGAGCTACCGATCCCTATTATAGGGCATTGGGAGGCTGAAAGACCCGGCCTCTAGGGAAAATTATGAAATTTCAAAAATCCAAGATGGCGACCAAGCTATGGGAGATTTAGTTTTTGGAAAAAATTTGGGATATTTTCAGTCGAGTTTTTGCTGCACATGGCAACCCTGCAGCTAAACGCCACCTACTGACATGGGTAAGTCTGAGTAAGAAGATTTGCCAGGTCTAAAATTTTTCCCCGATTTTGGGTTAATTTTGGAAAAAAGTCCCATAAAGTGGGAAATTTTTTTTTTGACATTTTAAATGAAGAACTCGTTTTGGTCTACTACAAATCGTCCCCTGAAGGGTTTTAGGTGGATTTCTTCAGAATTTGCTGGCAACACCCATACATCATCGGACAAATTTTGAAATTGAGGTCTAGCTTCAAAAACTGAAATTGATAGGGTACCTACGAGTATGCTAGCTCAACGCACTGTACGGCGTCGGATAGCCGAAGGACTCGGCCTCTAGGGAAAATTATGAAATTTTAGAAATCCAAGATGGCGGCAGAGATAGGGGAGTTTTGCTTTTCGGAGAAAAATTGGGATATTTTTAAATGTAGTTTTAGGACTGGCAACCCCACAGCCAGTCGACTACTATGGAGAGATGATGTGTCTCAACACAAAGTATTACCTGGTATAAAAATTTTCCCCGATTTTAGGGTAATTTTTGAGATAGGTCCTAAAAAGTGGGAAAAATTTTTTTGGACATTTCAAACAAAAGAATGATGAAAATCTGTCAAAAACAATCCCCCTATTGAGTTTAGGTGTTTTTTGTCAGAATTATCTGGCAACACCTTACATCAGTTTTCTTAGAGAATAGAACTAGAAGGAGTCGCTGAGGCTCTATACAATGTATGAACGAAATGTTTCTGTCACTAGGGTGAATATGTCAAAAGTATTAAAAAGTAAAAATCTAAGATGGCGGCCGAGTTAGGGTACTTAATTTATGTTGACAATTTTAGGGACTTTTTAAAATTCAATTTTGGGGTACAATTAATCCCTGACGCGAGTTGACTTCTATAGAGCAATGGAAACTCTCGGTGGAAAATTTTACCTGGTCTAAAAATTTTCCCCGATTTTGGGGTAATTTCGGAGAAAAGTAAAAAAACGTGGGAATTTTTTTTTTTTTTTCGTTAATTTGAACAAAACAGTGATGAGCATTGGTTCAAAATCATCCCCCAAAGGATCCTAGGTGGTTTTTGTCAAAATCATCTGGCAGCACCATACATCGATTTTCATAGTAAACCGTACTAAGGAACTAGAGGTGTAACCTGGGCTCTGTACAATGTATATATGAAGTGTTTCTGTCACCAAAATGTATGTGTTAAAAGTATTTAAAAAGGAAAAATCCAAGATGGCGGCCGAATTAGGATACTTTATTTATTATGACAATTTTAAGGTCTTTTTAGTAAATTCAGTTTTGTGGCACCTATCAACCCTGCAGCGAACTGACTTCTATTGAGGAATGGAAACTCTCGGTGCGAAGTATTAACTAATTTTCATAGTAAACAGTACTAAGGAAGTACTAGAAGGAGTCACCTTACATCTGTACAATGTATGGACAAAATGTTTCTGTCACCAAAGTGGATAAGTTAAAAGTATTTAAAAAAGGAAAAATCCAAGGTGGCGGCCGAGTTTGAGTATTTTTTCTCTGATGATAAATTTACCTGGCTTCCCTGCAGCGAGTCGACCTTTATTGAGCCGTGGTAGATTTCGGTTCGAAATATTACCTAGGTTACAAATGTTCCCCGTTTTTTGGGTAATTTTGCAAACCCAAAATGTGGGATTTTTTTTTCGACAAACTATATATAAGAGCAACGGAGATCTATAATAAATATCATTTTAATAGTTATATGCGATTTTTTGTAAAATTAGGTGGCAACACCATGCATCGATTTTCGTAAAAAGTAATATTTACTAAGGACCCACTAGAAGGATCGTGTCTCTGTACAATATATGGACGAAAAAGGAAAAATGGTATGAAAATTTTCCCCGATTTTGGGTAATTTAGAAGACAAGTCCAAAATGTGGGATTTTTTTTTCGATATTTCAAACAAAATAATGATGGATATCTGTCAAAAATCATCCCCTTATTGGTTTTTGTCACAATTATTTGGCAACATCTTAGATCAGTTTTCTTAGGGAATAGTACAAGAAGAAGTCACCGAGACTCTACATAATGTATGGACGAAATGTTTCTGTTATTAGGGTGAATACGTCAAAAGTATTAAGAAGTAAAAATCCAAGATGGCGGCCGAGTTAGGGTACTTTTTTAAATTCAATTTTCAGGTACCCATCGTCACTGCAGCGAGTTGACTTTTATGGAACAGTGGAAACTCTCGGTACGAAGCACTATCTGGTCTAAAAATTTTCCCCGATTTTAGGGTAATATCGGAGAGAAGTAAAAAAAAACGTGGAATTTTTTGTTTCATCATTTTAGACCAAACAATGATGACGATCTGTCAAAAATAATCCCCAAGGGGTCTTAGGTGTTTTTTGTTAAAATGAGCTGGCAACACCATATATAGATTTCCATTGTAAACAGTACTTAGGAACTACTAGAAGGAGTTACCTTGGCTCTGTACAATGTATGGACGAAATGTTTCTCACCAAGGTGTATATGTTAAAACAACTATTTAAAATGGAATCATTCAAGATGGCGGCCGAGTTAGGGTACTTTATTCCCGATGACAAGTTTAGGGACGTTTTAAAACTCATTTTTGGGGTAGTATTTTATTTCTTACAGCAAGTTACTTCTATGGAGCAAAGACGTGAAGTATTATATAGGCTACAAATTTTCCCCGATTTTTGGGTAATTTTGCAAACCTTAAATGTGGGAATTTTTTTTCGACATTTAAACATAAAAGTGACGGGTATCTATAATAAATCTCATCTTAATAGTTTTATGCAATTTTTTGTAAAATTAGGGGGCAACACCATGCATAGATTTTCGTAGAAAGTAATATTTACTAAGGAACCGACCGAATATTTTAAAAGGACCGTGTCTCTGTACATTATATGGACGAAATATATCTGTCGTCATGTAATATATACGTCAGAAGTATCAAAATGGAAAAATCCAAGATGGTCGCCGAGGTTGGCTTTGAACAAAATTTGGAAGATTTTTTTATTTTGGTACATTGTAACCATGCAGCGAGTCCGCTTTTATGGGATGGCATTGAATCTTAGTATTGCCAGCGCTAAAAACTTTCTCCGATTTTAATATTTATGATATTTTAATTAAAAGAGTGTTGAGTGGTTATTATTTATCATAGGTCCTTTACCTACGATAAATAATAACCCTAAGGCTTTTATCAAAATTATTTGGAAAACTTTACTATGAAAACCGATGTAAGTTTGATACATCGGTTTTCATAGTAAACTATTAGAAGGAGTTGACAATGTATGGACGAAATGTTTTTGTCACCCGGGTAGCTAAGCCAAAATAAAAAAAAATAAAAAGTCGAAATGGTATATAGAAAGGTAGGTTAGGTTAGGTTTTGTATTGCGACTCTTACAGTAGAAATTATGGCCTCAGAATAATATAGTAAACAAAAAAGTAGGTTAGGTTAGGTTTTGTATTATGATTTCTACATTATAAACTGTGAACCCAAATTAATATAGTATACAGAAAGGTAGGTAATGTGAGGTTTTGTATTGTGCCTATTGCAATAAAAATTAAAGCCACAGGTCGAAATGGTATACTGAAAGTTACGTTTGGTTAGGATTTCTATTGCGACTCTTACAGTAGAAATTATCAGAATAATATAGTAAACAAAAAGGTAGGTTAATCTCTACATTAAAAACTTGACCCTAGACTAATATAGTATACAGAAAGGTAGGTTAGGTTAGGTTTTGTATTGTGAGGCTTCGGCCTGCAATAACCGGGGGGCGGATTCTGGAGATCTCCGGCGCCTCCAGCGCGGAAAAGGCTGACGCCCTCGCGTCCAAACTCCGGGCCCTTATCCCGGAGGATGTGGCGAAGGTCTCCAGGCCCTCAAAAACCGCCGAAATGCGGGTCATGGGCCTGGATGACTCACTTACGCCGGAGGATGTCGCCGCCGCCATTGCGCGTGATGGCGAGTGCGTGGCCGGGGACGTCAAGGTCGGGCCCATCAGAAGGAGCAGCCCCAAAGCCTTGGGGTCTTGCTGGGTCCGCGGCCCTATGGCGGCCGTAAAAAAGGTCACGGCGGAGGGTCACATGCGGCTAGGATGGGTGTCCGCGAAGGTGGAGCTGCTGCGGCAACGTCCGCTGCGGTGCTTCCGATGCCTACAAAGTGGGCATGTCAGGGCGCAATGCACACAGGAGGAAGACCGCAGCGGGCTTTGTTACCGATGCGGAGAGGCGGGCCACAAAGTCGCAGCGTGCGCCGCAGCCCCCAGATGCGCAGTATGTGCGTCCCAGGGGCGGCCGGCGGACCATTGGGTGGGGAGCAAGAAGTGCACCCCGCCCAAAAGGAAGGGAGGGAAACGGCCCGCCTCACAGGTCCCAGGCCGTAGGAGTGGAGCAGAGGAGGGGATGGACACCTCCCCTCCCAGCGATCAAGGAGGCAGGAGCGGCCCAAGCCGCTCCTAGATCGCTACCGGGCCGGGGTGACGACCGCGGGGGCGGTCCCACCCCAACACACTAGGCCCGAAGAAGTCGCGCGCATGTCCCCGCGCGCCTTCCCCAGGGAGGACAGGGGAAGTGGTGGGTTCCATAGGGAACCCGCAGAGATGGGGCCCGCTGTAGAGTGGGCCACCGCCGTCGGAGTTGCGGTCGAGTATAATATGATCCCGCGACTCCGGCATATGGCGTTGGGTGAGGGACATCTTGGAGTTTTTAGTGAGTAGGAGTCTCACAGTACCCGCGGGCTTCCCCCGGGGCCGGCGGGTCTCCATGAGGGATTTTCTCCAAGTCAAAAAAAAAAAAAAAAGGTTTTGTATTGTGAACATTACAACATAAAGTTTTGCCACACTGTTACAATTTGAAGTCACATGAATGATTTCGTATCAAAACAGACAACTCTACTTGCCAACCAAGTCTATTCGAAAAGAAAACCGTCTTCACAAAAAAAATCAGCGACAACGCCTCGCGGGCCTCTTGAGGCCCGCGCACACACGCACCCTCTAGTCTTAAAATGAAAACTAATACTCACGCAGTATGATGTATAGCCTCTATCTTGTCATTCATCAACCGGTCTTTGTAGAAATTCACGAACAGTGTCCTTAGCGTGAGATTCAGGTCGAGCACTTGCTTGGCCACCTCTGAACTGCGTTCACAGCAGTGGTACGCCAAAATTAAATCCAAATCTGTAATAGACATTTATTACTTTACAGTTAACTTCAAAAGTCGGAGACGTCGGAGAAGAGTTCTTAGTAATGTTAGTTATATATCAAAAATTACAATTTTGGAAAAAATTTAACAAAAATTGCCATGAGGTTAATTTGTATACAGTAGAAATGGGAGCGAGGGACTAATCTCTCACGTCGTCGCTCGTCAATAAATCTAATTTAGTGAGTAATATAAATAGGTTTTGCTTTAATAATAAAAATAATAACAGTAATAAACAATGAGTTGTCTAAAAGTTTTTTTATACCACCATGGTGGCAAAGAAGCTTGCTTACGGCCTAAGCATACGGCCCATCTGATGGTAAATGGTTACCTTATTCGGACTACTCTAATACTGTTGGCCGCAGCTGGCCTTTACACCTTCACCGGACGTTAGGGGGCGAGTGCAGATGGCACTCCAAACCCGCGGAAGGACTTATGGAGCGGCTGAAGGCCAACTCCTGCCTGACGGATACAACTTTAGTCTGAGGGCACCGCTAGAGGTTCGAACCTCGGCTCAGGCCGTCGTAATTTCGATCCCCGTTTGAATTGGACGGGGGATCGATCAGAGGGGCGCCCGGGGGCGCCGGTGTGGAGCGCCCGGGCGCGCGCAGGCGCCCGGTTGAATGCGCGATAATGTGTGTTTGAGGTCGTCGTCTTCGCCGGCGAGGACGGTGTCGTGTGTGTGTGTAAAAGTGTGGTCGGGGTGGAACGGGTGGGCCCGTGGGGAGGTTACCTGCCGTTATGGGGTCGTCGGGGTCAAGAGAGAAATTGCTTCTCAATACATCTACGAAAATATTATGTATGCCAGGAAAAAAAATGTCAATTTAAAAAAAGTAGGTGATTACACTAATAAAAGCTTACGTAATGTCAACAAACTAGTTTTACCTAAGTGCCGTTTGACGAAAGTCAGTAATTCGTTTTATGGAAATTGCGTAAGGTTTTACAACAAACTCCCAGAGTCTGTAGTCAATTTGCCAGAAAAAAATTCAAATGTGTCATAAAATATTTTCTTTGTAAAAAAGCTTATTATAAAATTGAAGAATTTATAAATGATAATAATGTTTTTGTAGAAAATATCTAACTTAAAATTCATAGCGCTTACAATGTTATCTGATTGAACAGAGATTAAGTGCTCCTTGTTGTTAATAAAATATAAGTAAATCAATATTTATTTAAAAGAGCAACACACAAGTTTCTTGCATTTTCTTCTTGTGATGAATCTGCATTCGGAATAAGCGGTAGAATAAAAAAACTTGACTATTCAAAAGTGCTTATATTAAGTTTATTTGAATAAAGATTATTTATATTTCTATTTATCTATTTAAAAAAACCTCAATAGGTAGTTCATTTCACAATCTAAGTGTAAGCGGGAGGTAGCTCCTCTGAAACCGCTCTGTCTGAGATCACTTAGGTTCCAGCGTGTGGAGATGAATTCCCTATCGATGGCGAGCGGTGCGATGGTAAAAAGTAGCCGTAGGCATCATTTCGAACAATTCATCAGAACACAGTATGCTGTTACTTTTTTATACCATGTAGGTGGCAAACAAGCGTGGTGTTTCAGGCAACCGGTCTCTCCGAGATCACTTAGGTTCCAGGGGTCCGGCGGGGGGTTGGAACCACACTAAGTGTCTGGCAATGAGCAGCGCAAGTTATAATAATGCTACAAACAATATATGAAAATATGGAGTTTCTTAAAATAACGAATTTGATATGAATTTTTTTACACCTTTGTTACCTGTTACCTGCCAAAGGAACCACGATCCAGGTTTCATGTTTGGGGATCGTTCTTACCTGTGTTGGGGACACACATACAAGAACTTTCACGTTTACTAAAATGACGTATGTCTGGCAGTCGTGGGCTCTTGGGCTATTAAGAAACCTTAATATATCCTTCCTATAGCCCATGCATATTTCTTGTGTATCCTCAATAAATGGCATATATAGATGTACACGCAGACAAAATCGAGGGCACAAGTAGTTCATATATAATAGAACACTATTAACGTTAGTGGTAAATGCAAATTACAGACTCATTATACAGCATGCCCCTGAATTACCAGTCTTGTGGTAAAACGGTTATTAACTATAACAACTATACAGAAAAATAAAATTGGAGTGTCTGTTTGTAATATTGAAATAACCGTTTTTTACTACATGCATATAAATACGGTACATAAACCAAAATAACATTTTTTACAAATTTTATCTCTCTGTCTGTCTGTTTGTTTGTTCCGGCTAATCTCTGAAATGGGTGGACCGATTTTGACGAGACTTTTTTTGGCAGGTAGCTGATGTAATAAGGAGTAACTTAGGCTACTTTCATTTTAGAAAAATTCTTTAATTTTAGAAAAATAAAGTTATATTCCACGAAGTCGCGAGTACAGCTATTCTGTCCTATAATGTTTTTATAGCATAGGAGACAAACGATGTTGTGGTTCATCTGATGGTAGGTGATTTTTTCTTTCAAATGGATGATGTTTCCGCCTGCCAGATCAGTTTACGCTGGTGAGGCACCATTGGAGGATGATAATATGGGTATGAGGTCAGGTCAGACAAATTCACCAGCAATTTATCACGATGGTTTCCAGGGGGAACCTCGTGGAGGTCAACCTGTCATGGTACATTGTTAGCAATGGGATCATCAGTCCACATCACCCTTTTTATAGATTTACCCAACCTCAATTAAGTTTTCAATTTGTTTAAAATTTTCAAACATCCGTCATACTCGTGAACGAGTGCTGCTTGTAGGGACTGGTCTGCTCTTATCACTACGACTGATTTAATCTTATTGTGTTTTTATATTATTATTTAGAGGCAACTGTATATTTTAAACACTATTCTCAGAAAACACTCCCTTGAGGTATATTCCCGAGATTGCATCGGATCCATGCCTAAACAAACATCATTTACCATCAGATGAGATAACTAGATACTAGCTACTCGCCCCGTCTTCGCACTGGTGCATGTATTGTATATATATGCACCAGTGCGAAGACGGACCGACCTTCCTCTTGAATCACTCTATCTATTAAAATAATATGCTTCAAAATCCGTTGCGTAGTTTTAAAGATTTAATCATACATAGGGACGGACAGACAGCGACACTGTTTTATACTATGTAATGATAATGATACTTCCTATATTTTTAAACTATGCTAATAACAATTAAATTGAGCCATTTATTTCGATGACAGTTCAAAATGAACGTTCAAGTCATCGAAATAAATGACACAGAACAATCTAGAAACAGATCTCAAACAAAGATTAGCTGTATGACCATGGAATATATTTCTATTGTAATACTAGCTGATCCCGCGACTTCGTCCGCGTGGAATAGAACTTTATTTTTCTAAAATAAAGGTAGCCTAAGTTGCTCATTATTACATCAGCTACCTGCCAAAAAAAGTCCCGTCAAAATCGGTCTAGCCATATCAGAGATTAGCCGGAACGAACAGACAGATAGACAAAAATTTTAAAAAATGTTATTTTGGTGTATGTACCGTATTTATATTCATATGTACCATATGTAGTAAAAAATGGTTATTTCAATATTACAAACAGACACTCCAATTTTATTTATATGTGTAGGTTTATGGTGTCATTGAAAAAGATATTTAAATTGTCATGGTGGAAAAAATTTTCGTAATTTTATTATAATTATACACAAATGCAAATAAAATTCAGAATTGCGAAAGGTATAGTCGACGACCTCGGTGGTCTAGCGGTCTAGCACACCGCTTTACGTCCGATGGTCGCGGCTTCGATTCCTCGCACATCACAAACATTTGTATCGGTCTGGTTATTTTGTATGTTTAATATGTATATATTTACAAATAAAAAAATTTCTATGTACCTATTTGTATCATTTATCTAGTACCCATGGTATTTTCTATGTTTAATACGTTTGTATATACGAAAAAAATCTATTTATTTGTATCAGTTATCTAGTACCCATAATACAAGCTTTAGCTAGCTTAACTTGGGTCTAGATGGCGCTGTGTCAATTGACACAGCGCCATCTAGACTCATAGATCATAACCCAATTGGAGTAGCAACGAGGTTACCTGATTTGATTTTACTCAAAGATTTTTTAATTACAGTGCAACAAGGTAAGCAAATACTTGTTGATAAAAGGGAAGGAAAACGTGTAATAAAACGTTTAGTAAGGCCAGCGACAAACTGACAGCTGACAATGTAATAATACAATAATAATAATAATAATAATAAATTTTTACCCGCAATGATCAGTCTATTACCCCATAAATGGGAGATATATAATATATATATAAAAAAATAATAATAATAATACTTTATTTGCCAAATGTAGGTAAACAATAAGGTGTTAAAAATATGTTGTTGAGATCCGTACATTAACCTCGTAATACAGTAGACTAACGTGCTATCCCCCGTCCAATTTAAAAAAGTGATCAAAATTATGGCCTGAACCGAGGTTCGAACCGCTAGCAGTGCCCTCAGACTAATACATCAATTATCTTAACCTACATACTGGGATTGTAAGTATATATGTAACCCCCTCCGATCGATCTCCCGTCTAATTCAAACGGGGATCGAAGTTACTACGGGCGGAGCTGAGGTTCGAACCCCTAGCGGTGCTCTCAGACTATAATACATCAATTATTTTCCTTAATCTACATACTAGTATTATAAATAGACAATATGTAACCCCCTCCGATCGATCTCCCGTCTAATTCAAACGGGGATCGAAGTTACTACGGCCGGAGCTGAGGTTCGAACCCCTAGCGGTGCTCTCAGACTATAATACATCAATTATTTTCCTTAATCTACATACTAGTATTATAAATAGACAATATGTAACCCCCTCCGATCGATCTCCCGTCTAATTCAAACGGGGATCGAAGTTACTACGGCCGGAGCTGAGGTTCGAACCCCTAGCGGTGCTCTCAGACTATAATACATCAATTATTTTCCTTAATCTACATACTAGGATTATAAGTAGACAATATGTAACCCCCTCCGATCGATCTCCCGTCTAATTCAAACGGGGATCGAAGTTACTACGGCCGGAGCTGAGGTTCGAACCCCTAGCGGTGCTCTCAGACTATAATACATCAATTATTTTCCTTAATCTACATACTAGTATTATAAATAGACAATATGTAACCCCCTCCGATCGATCTCCCGTCTAATTCAAACGGGGATCGAAGTTACTACGGCCGGAGCTGAGGTTCGAACCCCTAGCGGTGCTCTCAGACTATAATACATCAATTATTTTCCTTAATCTACATACTAGGATTATAAGTAGACAATATGTAACCCCCTCCGATCGATCTCCCGTCTAATTCAAACGGGGATCGAAATTACGACGGCCTGAGCTGAGGTTCGAACCCCTAGCGGTGCTCTCAGACTAAAGTCGTATCCGTCAGGCGGGAGTTGGCCTTCAGCCGCTCCATAAGTCCTTCCGCGGGTTTGGAGTGCCATCTGCACTCGCCCCCTATCGTCCGGTGAAGCTGTATAGGTCATCCGCAGCTGACAGCATTAGAGTAGTTCGCAAAAAAAGGGCTGAATCTAAATTAGGTTACACTGTTATTATTTTCAAAAGTCCTCGATTAGAACGCCGCTTTGCTTCCGATGATCGCGGGTTCGATCCCTCGCACGGTACGAACATTTGTATTTATGAGTATGATTGTTTGTATCGCTCTAAATGTTTTCTATGTATAATATCCTCTCATCTGCGAAGGAGCCAATCATTAAACTCAGACATTATAGCCCCATTTATGAGAAATCCTCGGGTCTTTCGGTGAGAAGTCCGGTCTCATAGATTTTGAAATGACATTAACATATCATTTCCAAAATATTAATATGTATTTACAATATATATATTTTTTTCAGACTATTCTAATGCTTTTGGCCGCAGCTGGCCTTTACAGCTTCACCGGACGTTAGGAGGCGAGTGCAGATGGCACTCCAAACCCGCGGAAGGAAGTGGAACGACTGAATGCCAACTCCTGCCTGACGCATACGACTTTAGTCTGAGGGCACCACTAGGGGTTCGAACCTCGGCTCAGGCCGTCGTAATATCGATCCCCGTTTGAATTGGAGGGGCGCCCGGGTGCGCGCAAGCGCCCAGTTGAATGCGCGATATTGTGTGTTTGAGGTCGTCGTCTTCGCCGGCGAGGACGGTATCGTGTGTATATAAAATATCTAAGTATTTATATCAGTTGTCTAGCACCCATAATACAAGCTCTGCTTACCGTGGGACTAGATGGCGCTGTGTCAATTGTCCAGGGTTATTATCATTACTAAAATTTGACTATCATCTCTCAAGTTAAAATGTACGAACCAGTAATATGCTCCGCAGGCAAGTGAGGCTGTGTTAAAAGCCACTGTCGTAGACTACTGATATCCGCCGGAGTCACTCCAGTCGACTTCTTATACTCCTCCTCTAATGGATACTGATCAGGGATTGACGACCACATCATTCTGCAACCATAAACACAGGTAATAAAGTACATGAAGCAATAACTTTGTACACTTTTTTTTTAATTTCACGAATCTAGGAGTATGAGATTTCGCATACTTATACTTTATATGTATAGAGAAGGAGATGCAGAATGCTAATCTTTTTTTTTAATTGAGCACAAAAAATACTTTGTACTTGTTCATAAAAAAAAAATTACACACCATACCATACCATACCATTTGACACACACAGACATATATATAATCTTTTGATTATTATTAAAGTCTGTGGTCAAATTGACAATAGATTAATATTGCTTGTCTTTAATATTATTTATCTGTATTCTTACTTAATCAAATTGAATCTAGTCAAATTGAATCTAGATTAATATTGCTTGTCTTTAATATTATTTGTCTGTAGGCTTACTGAATATTAAATTAATTTTGGTTGATTTTCGACCACCACCACAGTTGGGACGTCAGCTTGGTGACTGATCCAATTACAAAAAGAAATCCTTGAGGACATTTCCCTAAGTATAATACGAATTATATATATTAACTAGCAGTTTCCGCGACTTCGTCCGCGTGGAATTTAACTTTATTTTATTTATAACTAAAATGAAAGTAGCCTAAAGAACTAAAAATCCCCATGGGATTGAATTTATTAAAATCCTATTTAAGCGAACGTCTTCATCATAGTAGCTCCAATCTTTAATTTCAGTTCAATCAGTCGAAAATCTAAGAAGATTTATACAAACTTTCATCCCCTATTTAATCCCCTTAGGGGTGGAATTTATCAAAATCCTTTCTTCTTGCATAAAGCTACTATAACGTAGGCATCCCCTAGATGCCTACGTTATAGTAGCTTTAGGCATGCAAAGTCTCAGCCCGATCGGTTTAAAATTGACAAAGTTTCATACAAACTTTCATCCTCTATTTTATCCCCTTGGAGGTAGAATTAATCAAAATCCTTTCTTAGCGGATGCCTACGTCATAACATCTACTTGCATGCCAAATTTCAGCCCGATCCGTCCAGTAGTCTGTGCGTTGATAGATCACTATGTCAGTCAGTCACCTTTGAGTTAAATATATTTAGATTTTCCGTAAGAAATTTACGAAATATGAACATATTCAGACCCTTTTCAGGGATCAGGCGATCATCAAATATACAAAAACATCAACTTTGTCTTATAGCATTTTTTATAATCTACTATTTATATCCGTGTAATTGTGCTCGCAGTTATGATTATAAAAAAATTTGCTAGTTTGTTAACATGTTTACATATAACGTTCAAGTACATTTAGACACTCGCAAATCAGCCAAACGCAATTAACAACTTCTCCATAAGTACTACACACTATATTTAAGTTATATACTTTAAAAAAACCCAACTTTGATTAATTGTTAATAATAATAATAATAGTCATCTCAGGACAATTCACACAACGCCATCTAGACCTAAGTTAAGCTAGCTAAAGCTTGTGTTATGGGTACTAGATAACTGATACATATACATAGATATATATTATTTTATATAATATTATTATATTTCTTAAATCTTAATCCATAATAATGTCATAAACGTGAAAATTTGTAAGTATAGATGTTTTTTACATATTTTACATAGATATTGGTTTTTTTTATAAATACTTACATATTATACATAGAAAGCAACCAGACCGATACAAACAATCATAGTCATGAATACAAAATGTTTGTGCCGTGCGAGAAATCGAACCCGCGACGTGTGCTAGACCGCTAGACCACCGAGGTCAAATTGTTGTTCTTTTAAAATTCGTATCTTTCGGGCAGCCAAAGGACACGGCTCATACTGCCTAGCTACTGATTAAGTTAAAATATCTTTATTCATGTAGGTATATCTTTATGGTATTCCTTACACTTAATATAAGTCAATAGTACCGTCAGTTAGGAATGTAATAGAAGCCGAGATAAACTATCACTTTGCTCAAATGAGTCTAGCGGTTTAACACGCCGTCCTATCACCGATGGTCGCGGGTTCGATTCCTCGCATGATACAAATATTTGTATTCCTTAGTATAATTGTTTGTATCAGTCTGGGTGTTTTCGTTAAAACGTAAATACAAGCTCTGCTTAGCTTGTACTTGGATCTGGAAGGCGCTGTGTAAATTATCCTGGGTTATAATGTACATTCAGATTACTTTAATTTTCGTTGTGATAAAATTTAATAGATAGATAAATTCTTTATTCACAATTACAGACACATAACATACATGAGATATAGAAAAAAAAACATGAATTAATTAATTAATTAATACACCACGACACACCAAAAAAGAATCATCAAAGTGGAAAACATACCGTGTTACTCACATAAAAAAACACACAATTATAGAGCGACAAAAATTATACCCACCAGAATTAAATTAAGATTTGTCTTTGAAAACAACCTACCACAATAACAAGAGTTTAAAATTAAAAAAAAAACACCAACCAACGTAGCAAGCGGTGGCAACACACCGCGCATTCAAATGAACAACTAACTATCAAGAGTGACATGCTAGCGACCTTCTACATACATACATACATACAAACAACTAACAGGGAAAACATCTCGAGTCGAGTGTCGACTCAAATTGCGTTCCGTATATTTTTTTTATAAAAACAAATGTATACTACATAGGTGGCAAAAAAAGGAGTAAATAACGATGATTGCGAACAGGGATGAATGGAATAGAGAAACATATTACGTCGACCAAATGGATGGGATAAGGAAGAAGCAAATGATGTGTAGATTAGAATGTAATTGTATGCAAAAATTATAATAAAAATAGACAAAAAAGGGAGTAAATAACGATGACTGTGAACAGGGATGAATGGAAGAGAGACACATATTACGCCGACCAAATGGATGGGATAAGGAAGAAGCAGATGATGTGTAGATTAGAATGTAATTGTATGCAAAAATTTGAATAATAATAAGCAAAAAAGGGAGTAAATAACGATAACTGCGAACAGGGATGAATAGAATAGAGAAACATATATACGCCGACCAAATGGATGGGATAAGGAAGAAGCAGATGATGTGTAGACTACAATGTAATTGTATGCAAAAATTATAATAAAAATAGGCAAAAAAGGGAGTAAATAACGAGATGACTGAGAACAGGGATGAATGTAAGAGAGAAACATATTACGACGACCAAATGAATGGGATAAGGAAGAAGCAGATGATGTGTAGACTATAATGGAATTGTATGCAAAAATTATAATAAAAATAGACAAAAAAGGGAGTAAATAACGATGACTGCGAACAGGGATGAATGGAAGAGAGAAACTTATTACGCCGACCAAATGGATGGGATAAGGACGAAGCAGATGATGTGTAGACTAGAATGTAATTGTATGCAAAAATTATAATAAAAATAGGCAAAAAAGGGAGTAAATAACGATGACTGCGAACAGGGATGAATGGAAGAGAGAAACTTATTACGCCGACCAAATGGATGGGATAAGGACGAAGCAGATGATGTGTAGACTAGAATGTAATTGTATGCAATAATTAGAATAATGATAGGCAAAAAAGGGAGTAAATAACGATGACTGTGAACAGGGATGAATGGAAGAGAGAAACATATATACGCCGACCAAATGGATGGGATAAGGAAGAAGCAAATGATGTGTAGATTAGAATGTAATTGTATGCAAAAATTATAATAAAAATAGACAAAAAAGGGAGTAAATAACGAGATGACTGCGAACAGGGATGAATGGAAGAGAGAAACATATTACGACGACCAAATGAATGGGATAAGGAAGAAGCAGATGATGTGTAGACTAGAATGTAATTGTATGCAAAAATTATAATAATAATAGGTAAAAATGGAAGTAAATAACGAGATGACTGCGAACAGGGATGAATGGAAGAGAGAAACATTACGTCGACCAAATGAATGGGATAAGGAAGAAGCAGGTGATGTGTAGACTAGAGTGGAATTGTATGCAAAAATTACTTTGTACGCGTAATTGCAGAAGACAGTGGAACTTCTATCTATTTCTTAAGACCTTTGTAACCTGTACTTCACAAATGAAGAATTTGAATTTGAAATTTGATTTTTTTAAATAGTAATAATAATATTCTTGGACAATTCACACAGCGCCATCTAGTCCCAAGTTATGCAGAGCTTGTGTTATGGGCTCTAGACTACTGATATAAATGTATGGACATAGCGCCATCTAGTCCCAAGGTAAGCAGAGCTTGTGTTATGGGCTCTAGACTACTGATATAAATGTATGGACACAGCGCCATCTAGTCCCAAGGTAAGCAGAGCTTGTGTTATGGGCTCTAGACTACTGATATAAATGTATGGACACAGCGCCATCTAGTCCCAAGATAAGCAGAGCTTGTGTTATGGGCTCTAGACTACTGATATGAATACATGGACACAGCGCCATCTAGTCCCAAGGTAAGCAGAGCTTGTGTTATAGGTACTAGACTACTGATCTAATTACACAGATATTTTTTTTGTATCTACATAGAAATACTCAGACCGACACAAACAATCATACTCATGAATACAAACGTTTATAGCGAGGAATCGAACCGGCGACTATTGGAAGTAAAGCAATGTATTACACCACTAGACCACCGAGCCCGTCAAAATAAATAATTACTAACCGTTTTAATAAGCTTCATAAATAGTTAGAAACCTCCAAGTGACACCTATTTGCGAGTATGACTACAAAAAAAATTGCCAGTGCTCGTCTAATCTGTACTTTGACTGAGCATCCAGTCCATTTGTCTGTTACTATCGGTATTATCTCGTAAACATTTTGATCTTGAATTATTGATAAAGTTGAAGGTTAAAATGTGTTAATCTGGTTAACCTTGACTGATTAAACCTTCTGTTTGTTTATAAATTAATATAGTTAGTAAACTAAACAACTAGTTCCGGCTTTATACATTAGTTTTTTGTTTTCTTAAAAGGCCGGCAACTCGATTGCAATTCCTTGTATCCGTCAGGCGGGAGTTGGCCTTCAGCCGGTCCATAAGTCCTTCCTTTGGTTTGAAGTGCCATCTGCACTCGCCCCCTATCGTCCGGTGAAGCTGTAAAGGCTAGCTGCGGCCAACAGCATTAGAATAGTCCGAAAAAAAATTACTTGAAATTCCCCTGGTGTTGCGGTTGCTCATGGACAAATGAACTGACGGTTCACCTGACGGTAATCACTTACCATCAGGTGAACCGTAAGTTTAGGGACCCAGAAAATATAACAAAATAATATTTTTTTTTCAATTTTTGTCAGTCTGTCTGTCTGTTTGTTCCGGCTAATCTCTGAAATGGCTGGACTGATTTTGACGTTACTTTGTTTTTTACTTTCCAAAAGGGCCCCGTATTCTTGTGTGCCCAAGGGCCCAGCCTAGTTTAAGACGGCGGTGCATATGATTTTTGAAGCTAGAACGATGAAAAATTTTACTGTGCTATTTTGAGTTAGGTTAAATATTAAACATTTTATGGTCTCCAAGGTCACTATACTACGCGTACGGAGTTGCGGGCACAGCTAGTATTGAATAATTATTTTATTCCAATCTAAATATATATAACTCACTGACATAGTGATCTATCAACGTACAGCCCAAACCACTGGACGGATCGGGCTGAAATTTGGCATGCAGGTAGATGTTATAACGTAGGCATCCGCTAAGGATTTTCGTTAATTCTACCCCCAAGGGGATAAAATAGGGGATGAAAGTTCGTATGAAACTTTGTCAATTTTAAACCGATCGGGCTGAGACTTTGCATGCATAAAGCTACTATGACGTAGGCATCCCCTAAGAAAGGATTTTGATAAATTCCACTCCTAAGGGGATTTAACTCGAGCGAAGTCGCGGGCAAAAGCTAGTTGAGATATATACTAAAAGATTATAATATATATGTAGATATATATGTTGCCATTCTCCTTCACCAGTGGCGTTGTGGTACGCTAATTTTTCGCAATTGCATCGCGCAATCATGCATTGCACTGGCTGGCACATATTCAGGGCTGTTACATTTACTATACTAATATTGAACCTGTTGTAAATTTGACGCTGTCATTATATATATACCCCTCCGATCGATCCTCCGGCCAATTCAAATGGGGATCGAAATTACGACGGCCTGAGCCGAAGTTCGAACCCCTAGTGGTGCCCTCAGACTAAAGTCGTATCCGTCAGGCAGGAGTTGGCCTTCAGCCGCTCCATAAGTCCTACCGCGGGTTTGGAGTGCCATCTGCTATCGTCCGGTGAAGATGTAAAGGCCAGCTGCGGCCAACAGCATTAGAGTAGTCCGAAATATATATATATATATCAGCAACATCGGCTTCTTCCTTATCAATTCAATTCAATTCAAAATATCTTTATTCATGTAGGTCTATTACAGACTCTTATGATATGTCAAATCTACCGTCACGCGTCAGTTCGGAATGATTTCGATATGAGAAGAACTAAAAAGAAACTCGGCTCGTATTCTTGTAAAATAAATATTGTACATGTTTACAATAATACACATTAATTAAAATTCAAATTTGGGAGAATAGAGTGACACACTATTGCAAAAAACAAAAAATCTAATCAGTATTCGCAACCTGAACAGACCAGTCCCTATAAGCAGCACGCGATCACGAGTATGACGGATGAGCCAGCCATCATTGCACTCAACCATATTAGAAAGAGCACATCGACCGGGCCCACCACGCCGCCACAAGTTTGAACTTTATAGCGAGCATGACTGTTTCAGGTTACTCCACTACGTCAATTATATTATTTACAGCATAGGCTGTACCGATCACAGTTTTCACCCATTACAATATGTCGTTACTAAATCTTGGTATACATATAAATTAAATTGGAGTGTCTGTTTGTAATATTGAAATAACCGGTTTTTATGAATATAAATACAGTACACATACCAAAATAACATTTTTTACAATTTTTGTCTGTCTGTCTGTTTCTTCCGGCTAATCTCTGAAATGCTTGGACCGATTTTGACGGGACTGTTTTGCCAGGTAACTGATGTAATAAAGAGTAACTTAGGCTACTTTTATTTTAGAAAAATGATTTTAATTTTGAAAATAATGTTGCAAAATTCCACGCGGACGAAGTCGCGCGTACAGCTAATTTTATAATATAATTAATAACTCAGGACAATTCATACAGCGCCATCTAGTTCTAAACTAAGTAGAGTTTGTATTAGATACTAGACAACTAATATAAATACTTAAATAAAAAATCTGTAAATACATACAGAACGTAAGGGACAATTCATACAGCGCCATCTAGTTCTAAACTAAGTTTGTAAAGTAGGGTGACAATAATACTTCAATAAAAAATCTGTAAATACATACAGAACGTAATGGACAATTCACACAGCGCCATCTAGTACTAAACTAAGTTTGTAAAGTAGGGTGACAATAACCCTGAATAATATCATTGGACAATTCACACAGCGCCATCTAGTACTAAACTAAGTAGTTT